GGTACCTGGTGTGTATTGGTAAGCAGAGGCCATTTTACTGGGGTATCTGGTGTGTATTGGTAAGCAGAGGCCATTTTACTGGGGTACCTGGTGTGTATTGGTAAGCAAAGGCCATTATACTGGGGTACCTGGTGTGTATTGGTAAGCAGAGGTCATTTTACTGGGGTACCTGGTGTGTATTGGTAAGCAGAGGCCATTTTATTGGGGTACCTGGGTGTGTATTGGTAAGCAGTCGTCATTTTACTGGGGTACCTGGTGTGTATTGGTAAGCAGTGGCCCTTTTACTTACAAAAAGTGCAACGAATCCATAGGTGGGGATTATACCACCTAAGCGCTTACACTGAGCAGTCCAAGCCTGCTCCATATTACGTGAGTAGTATATTTTATACTCTTTTAACTTTGAATTATAATACAGAGAGCACTATATATTTTATTCTCTTCTTCTGGGTCCTATAACACCAATTTGGACGTTGAACCTACGCCAGATATCCACCTATCAAACCTTACTCCGCATATCCTTGAGTGGGGATTATTCCACTCTACGTGCGCAATATCAGAGCTGGATTTTAGCTCTGAAAAGTGTGAGTAAGACTTATTTTATTATTATATATTTTACTTACCTATATACTGTGCCATTGGAGTCCTGTTTTATTTTTCTATGCTCTATCGAACTTCAAGCATATAATCGTGAAGACTTGATCCCATCTAACATCCTAAGAATTTCCTTTCTACATGTGGGACCTACCATTACGGAGTGTGATACGTTTTTTGGACTACTGCCAATCACCTATTTTATTCTAATATTTTATTATACTTTTATTTATATATTGTTATTATTATACATTTATATATTTTAGACGCACCCTTATTTTATTGTTTGTTTTGTATTCCTTGAAAAATGTACAGAATGGAGATATCACAAGTAAGTTCCTCTCTCCTACCCCTTACATAAATGTAAATGTACAGTCATGTTTAAAAAAGTATTAATCACTAGAAAGTCAGTGGTGGGTCTGGAGGGGACACCAGCGCAGATGCCCGCCTCCATCCCCCCCAAAAAAGTAGGGGACCACCAGGAGGTTGGCAACTGGTGCGTGAGGGCCAGCAGGCTGGGCTTGGAATATACTGTTGATCAGACTTCATTCTTACCCTAGAATGCAACATGCCGCAGTGCAACCCCCTCACATAGAACCATGAGGTGCCAGGGTGACGTACTCCTGGTGAATTCCTTCTAGCTCATATTAACAAGCACTATGGCAGTTTGTTGGGGTTAGTTTTCACAGCAATTAAACCATTACCTATCTGACAGCAGCTGGCTTATCTAACTGTATGGAGCAATGGCAGCCTCACACGTCAAGAATAACTTCTCGGACATTATGGACAGAAAGAAACCTAGGAGGAAATTTATCTATTTATCTGTCTGTCCATCTTTCTATCTATCTATCTATCTATCTATTTCTGTCTGTCTTTCTCTCTGTCTTTCTGTCTGTCTAACTATCTATCGTTTTCTACTGTGCCGATAATTGGAATTTCATCGATCATTTTCGTGTTGTCCCTGCCTGTAGTATAGGTCTGCTGTCTATATTTGTGTCATAGTAACTCTGAGGAATTTATTCATTGTACACTGAATTGCAGTGAATTGAAAACCAAACTGTGATTATATCTATGTTCACGGATTTTTTCAAACCAGCACTTTTTGTCTAAACGTTCTAATTCCTGGCAGTTTGTTGCTTTTTGAATAAACCTATAAGTGTCTTTAAAAGACTTTAAGTTGCGTGATGAAAGCGAAGTGCTCGATGTGCTGGATTACATGCGCTGCATCCACTCTGCGCAGAGTGATTATCCATGGCTCCTGTACAGTAAACTGCCAGGGGGAAAGGAGTCTGGGACGCAGAGCAACAGAGACGCCAAAGGCCTCTCATGGCTCCCCTGTATGCAGAATAATTGCAAAGCAAGCAGACACAACAGGAAGTCCCTTGAGTACTGTACTGTAACATTCCCCCTCCTGAGATCACCTCTACAGACACATAACACACTTCACCGAGAATAGAACATCCGCATAAAGAGTGCGCCACTCACTCACAAATCCCTATAGAATGGCAATGAATCAAATACACATCACTTTGTCAAACAACAGGGATTTGCAAAACGTCACTGTCATCCTAATTGTCTGTCTCTGTCCATTAAAACATTTTGATGATTTTTCTTTTTTTTTTTTCGGGGGTGAGGAGTCCAAAAACTTTTATTTTTTTTGCTAATTTACTGGTGGCCTTTTATTAATTATTCTTGTCGCGTACTTTAACTTTTTTTTTTATTATTGTTGAATCTTCTGGGTTTTACTTAAATGACAATTGATCTCTCACATCTCAGTAACACAGGAGACAAAAAAAATCGTTTTTCGCATCATCTGGGACACAAAGGGTTAAACAGAATTTTCACCGAACAAATTCTTCCTCCTTCTTCACGTTCCCCCCACCAACTCGACCGCAGGCTGTAAAAGATTTCTGAAGATCAGGAAGCGGGATGGTGGCACAGAAATGGTTACATCTTGCGGAATTGCAGGATGTGTCACATTTGATTATAAATCACTTACCCTTAATTGCCTATTTTGGTGAGTAGATGGTGAGGTCACAGCTGCAGCTAGAAGCCCCAATGCCATCTCCCCATGCAATGAATAATAGATAGAGCACCACCCAGACAGGCAGACAGAGATGGTGTCATGTTCCCTCGGGGACACTATTTCCTGTTGCCATTTGTTTTGCAGGTAGCATGTGTTAGAAAAGAAAAAAAAAGTAATGACTCATTCATAATTTAACCCACGCAATACCAAAGGGAACGAGAAATACACATGTACATTGACCAAAGACCACCTAATTTATTAAATTTTCTACAATTAGCATTTGTAAACAATCTTAAAAAACACTAACACAGTAGAACACCATCAAGCTGCTGGAAGTTGTTAATTCATCCGCCTTGTGGCTGATTGGTGGGACATTCAAATTCTGTAACTCCAAATCACCAAAACAGATTATGGATGTATCAAGAAATAAACAAAATGGAATGGGCAATGGAATGAACAATTTTGTTTGATTTGTGATTTAGAGTTACACCTGTGGCGCCAAACAAAAGATTGATTGATGGGAAAAAAGGTGATTGATGGTCAGGGTCAGCCCAAGACATTGTGCTGCCTGGGTCCAAAAATGAAATGCTGCCTCCCCCAATCATCCCTCCTCCTCCCCCCCCCAAAAAAAATAAATAAAAAGAAATATGTGTTTCTGCAATGGTAGTGTCTATATGTGTGTGTGCTGGGGATAAAATGTGTGTCTGTGTGTGTACTGGGGGCTGAAGTGTATGTCTAACTGTGTGCTGGGAATGACATGTGTCTGTGTGTTTGCTGTGAATGAAGTGTTTGTTTGTGTGTGTACTGGAGATGAAGTGTGTGTCTGTATGTGTGCTGGGGATGTAGTGTGTGTCTGTGTGTGCACTGCAGCCAATACACTTACCTATACACTGTGTCTGTGTAAATGCATGTGTGTCAGTGTTTGTATCTGTGTGCCTATATCTGTGTATGTGTCAGTGATTGTATCTGTTTGTCTATGTATCTGCATGTGTGTCAGTGTTTGTATCCGTGTGCCTATATCTGTGTATGTGTCAGTGATTGTATCTGTTTGTCTATGTATCTGCATGTGTGGCAGTGTTTGTATCTGTGTGTCTGTATATCTGCATGTGTATCAGTGTGTCTGTGCAACTGTATGTGTATCTGTATATCTGCATGTGTATTCGTGTGTCTGTGCAACTGTATGTGTGTCTGTGCATCTGCATGTTTGTCAGTGTATGTATCAAACACTGACACACATGCAGATATTGGCATACATGCAGATGTACACACACACTGACACACAGACACACATACACATACAGATACCAGGGGCATTTTAGCCACGAGGCAAACAAGGCATTTGCCTTGGGCGGCATTTTTCAGGGGGCGGCAAAATATGCCTCCCCCAAATGCCCAGGGCAAATGCCTTGTTAGCCTTGCGGCTAACAGACATGCCGAGCGAGCGGGCGGCGCTGGCGGGCGGCCCTCGCCAGCCGCCCACCCATCCCAGCGCCGCCCGCAGCCACTGGACCACCAGGGAGATAGAGAACCCACCCCCTCCCCCAGCATTCCCAAAGGTAAGGGGGGGGGGGTAAATTAAAAAACAAACAAAAATGTGTTAATGTGAGTGTGTGTGTGTCTGTTAATGTGTGTGTTTGTTAGTGTGTGTGTGTGTGTGTGTGTGTGTCTGACTGTGTGAGTGTGTCTGCTAGTGTGTGTCTGCTAGTGAGTTAGTGTGTGTCTGTTAGTGTGTGTCTGACTGTGTGTGTCTGTTAGTGTGTGTGTGTGTGTCTGACTGTGTGTGTGTGTGTGTGTGTGTGTGTGTGTGTGTGTGTGTGTGTGTGTGTGTGTGTGTGTGTGTGTGTGTGTTTGTGTGTGTGTGTGTGTGTGTCTGTTAGTGTGTGTGTGTGTGTCTGACAGTTTGTGTCTGTTGTGTGTCTGTGTGTGTGTGTGTCTGACTGTGTGTATGTGTGTGTCTGACGTGTGTGTGTGTGTGTGTGTGTGTGTCTTGTGTGTGTGTGTGTGTGTGTCTGTGTAGTGTGTGTGTGTGTCTGTGTAGTGTGACAGTTTGTGTCTGTTTGTGTCTGTTAGTGTGTGTGTGTCTGACTGTGTGTATGTGTGTGTCTGACTGTGTGTGTGTCTGACTGTGTGTGTGTCTGTTAGTGTGTGCGTGTGTCTGTTAGTGTGTGTGTGTCTGTTAGAGTGTGTGTGTGTCTGTTAGAGTGTGTGTGTGTGTGTGTGTGTGTCTGTTAGTGAGTGTGTGTGTGTGTCTGTTAGTGAGTGTGTGTGTCTGTTAGAGTGTGTGTGTGTGTCTGTTAGAGTGAGTGTGTGTGTGTCTGTTAGTGAGTGTGTGTGTCTGTTAGCGTGTGTATGCGTATCTGTCAGTGAATGTGCGTGTGTGTATTTAGAAGGCGGGGCAGGGTGAAGGGTTGGGTGGGGCTGGCGCGGTGAGGGGCGCCACTACACCACTGACAGATACACACTGACACATACAGATACACACACACACAGATGCAAATTGCACACACACAGATACACAAACTACACACACTACACACATATAGCTACACACACTACACACATACAGATACACACACTACACACACAGACAGATGCATACATTGCACACACACAGATACACACACTACACACATACAGATACACACACTACACACACAAACAGGTGCATACATTGCACACGTACAGATACACACACTACACACATACAGATACACACTACACACACTACGAGCATACGCATACACACACTATACGCATACATACACACACACAGATACATACACTACATACAGATACACACACTACACAAACACAAATTACACACATACAAACAGACACACACACTACACATACAAGATACACACACTAGACACACACTTGACACAAACACACACACTATGCACACAATACACACACACATACAAACACACTGATACACACACTACACACATTACACACATACAAACACACAGATACACACATTAACAAATTAGGCAGCCCAGCAGTTACTTAGTTTCTGCTGGCTGTGGCTGGTGGGAGTTGGGAGCCTGCTCTCCTGGTCTGGCCCCATTCTCGCAGCTCCCTCCTGTCCGCGTGGCTTGGTCTGTGTGTGTGTGCGCAGGGAGGAGTGATATGCTGTCACTTCCTCACAGCTATTCCTGTGGATAGAAGGAACCCAGTCACGCTGTTAAAGTGCCGCAGCGCACGACCGAGCCCCTCATTGCATATGTCCATCGGGTGGCCCTAAGGGCATGGACCACCAAATGGACCTCCACACACAGGTTCCCAATCCGTGCGGTGCAACTGCACCGCCGCCTCAGGTTGGGAACTCCTGTTTTAAATGATGACAGAAGCAGCAAAATGTCGCCCCTGTCAGTGTGCTGCCTAGAGCCATGGCCCCACAGCAGTCTATGGAGGGGCCGGCACTGTTGATGGTTAAGGGAAATCCACTGAATATTGATTTTATTCAAAGATCAAATGCAAAGTGACCAAAAATTGAAAATAGGGAAGAAGGGAGAAGTAAAAAACAAAATATATATAACTTTTCTTTTTTACTGCTCGTTCTTTTTTCCTCCCTCTAATTGAATATTTGTTCTCACTTGATCTGTAACTCAAATGAAAAATCCGCCTACCAATGTACTGGAATATATATATATATAATATTTATATTTGGCAGTACACTGATTGGCCCATTTTCACACCATTTTGGTTCGTCCAAATACTTTTTCCCAAAACGATTGCACAGATGAAACTTCCCTCACAGCATTTTAACATTCTCCAGCCAGCCCCACACCCCCCTCCTGTCTTACAACTGTTGTCACTGTTCTGGCAGTGATCCCGACACTGGATTCTGCATCTTTGTGTATATTTATGACGCAGCGTCCATGTGTTTACAAACTGACACAAGAGACATGAAATTGCATAATTTTCTATGCCCACTTACGTTTTGGGGGAATGAAAGTGACGCAAACGGAGTCATATCTCCTAATACTAAAAAAGACCAATTCTCATCAGTGCCCAGTGTCGTGTTAGTCCCAGTAGCGTGTTGCTGATTTATGGTGTCTTTTTGGTATTTTTACCCAGCCTGTCTTGACTATCCTGCTCTCTGGTATCCTTTGGTCCGGCTTTGCCTATAGATATTGTGTGCCTCTCCTGTCCTTAATCTCGGCTTACCCTGACTATTCTTTTATCTTATGTACGTTATGTCCAGTCACCTCTGAGGACTGGTAATACGCTCCCTATCCCACCCATACTTATATAGGTTCCGTGTTGGTTCAAGTTCTGTGTGTTGGGTTACCACCACGCTTTGACAATTATACACAGTTTATCGATATATTTGATATCTGCCCATATTGTTTCCCAACCAAATGTGTTGTTGTATCAGCAGAGTTTAACCTGAATGTTTTGTTCTGCACCCGAGCTGCTGCTTGTCCTGAGGATTTGGAGCTGGAGTTCTGTTTTGGTCTGGAATCCTTTCATCCGTAGTGCCTGTTGCTAAGTGAAACTTTTGGAATGGGACTGTGAATGAGGCAATCGTAGCATGTTATGTGCCGAAGGAGATAGGAGAGGCAATGCACTGGCAATGTTATTGAGGTTAGCTAAGCAGGTGGATTAACGTCTACAATAGACGCTGCATAAAGGAGATAAGAATTTTCGTTGCTCTTTTGTAAAACACCTGCTTCTATCATGTTTTCAAATAATAAAGTAGTCTTGTGATCCTGCTAGATCCTCCGCTCTGAGTTAGTTTTATTTTTTTCTTCATACGCCTTTTGCTGTTTTTTTTTTAACTTTTCCTAAAAATTTAATTTAAATGTTACTTGCTGCTCTGATCAACACAAGGAAGGAAAAGGGGGTGTTGGGCAAGATTTGTAAGGTACTCCAATACCACGATGACAGTTTATATGCCCAGTTTGTGTTCTGCACATCTATGTGCTTCAGGCGCCCGTGACAACAATTGTGATTTAAGGCGCTATTGTCGTGTTTTTACAACTGATGTTTTACATTGCATGTATTTCTGTAAACTTTATCAATGTACTTGTTTTGTTTGCATATAAAATCAACATGCCTGTCCTGAATGTACCAGTAAATGGCTACTGGGATCTTATCGGGGACACTTTGGATAGTCTAGTAACTATATTACTAAACAAATATTAATGAGTGATTTAACCTCTAACTTTCTGTCAACAGTTTATGTAAAAAAGTTGGTTTATTATGTGTATGTGAGTATGTGTTTGAAAGGTGGAATTCTTTGCAAAGAGAAGTTTGTTCTAGTAGAAAGGAAGTTGGGTAAAGTAAGAGTTGTGAAAGGATTTAATAAATAATATAGCAATGTTTTTTTCTGGATTCAAAGATATCTTTAAATCAAACATGACTGTTGCTCAGTAAGATTATAACAAAACAAGAGAATTCAAAGTTAGTCCAAAGTGAATTTCAAACTTAGGGACAAGACAGACAGAATGGAAAAATGATCTAAGTAAGCAATGCTACCAGTTTGACCACTTTGGCCTTAAATTTATGGTATTTTTCAGGAAGCAGAAAAGATAGATCTGTGCCACAGGGATGGAGATACCTGGCCACCCTTCACTAGATCACAGTTCTTGCACTCCAGGGCCAAGCTAATGGAATGTTCTTGATGAAATTCACCAGCACCCTAACAGCTTTCCTAAATTATTAGTAATTTTGGAAATTTTCTGCATGTTATTCTGCCCCTGACTCCTTTAACAGCACAGAAGTATCACGAACGAAGTATGACAAAGATGATCTGCGCTGTTCAGGTGCAAAGATCTACATTTCCTAAGTAATTGGACCACAAGGGGGAAAACGCATCTTAATAACTTTTAGCACCGAAACAGGGAAGGATTGGTATTAAAAAAAGAAGATAAAAAAATGCTAGAGTTATCCCATAAAATTCCGAAACTGGGGATCCCCAGTGTCTTGTCCCATCACCAATGAACGATCCTGAGGACCTACTGGACAGTGAAAATGTTATGCAATAGCCTTCACCAAGAGGTGCAGAGCTTTGGGTATCTATAGAAAAAAGGGAGTTTAAATGGCCAGACTACACAGTGAACGCAGAGCAGGTACAGACTCAGTAATGATTGGGATATGCTGGTGACTGGATAACAGATGTGATCTGTGACAATTATTAATTTTATTTTGTCATTTATTTATTTTTATAGCGCCAGCAAATTACGTAGCGCTGTACAATGGGTGGAATAACAGACAAGTAATCGTAACCAGACAAGATGGACGCACAGGGACAGAGGGGTTGAGGGCCCTGCTCAATAAGCTTACATGCTAGAGGACTAAAGACCCTTAACAGAATTAGGAAATCCATGTATCCAACTCGCCTTATTCTACCACCAAATTCAAGTTTTATGACCTGAGACTTTCCCCGTGGTCTGCACAGGGTTATTCTTCTTCGCTCGGCTGGGTCGCCCAAACCGGAGGGAAAAAGGTGGAACCTACACATATTATTAGTATCTTCAGGCAAAATGCAGGGTTTAAATCTCTGAAACATTGTATATTTGGAAAGATTCTAGTCACTGTTTACAGCGCAGTCGAGACCGGTGTTGTTTGTCTATAAATATGTGTTTATTTTGTTATTTTTTTCCCTTCTGCTGCCAGTAAGGTCACCTTCAGACTGATTCCGGCAGGGGGTTACATGCGCTTCTCCTAGTGTCTCATGGCTCCGTGATTTATTGCCGCTCACTTCTTGCCACTGTTCACTGCACAATCCAATCTTCCAGACACACATATTTCTCAATCCGTAGACGAATGCTCTTGGAAGGAGCTGAGCTCGCCCTGGCTTGCTAATTTCCCTCACATCTCTCATTTCTTGCTTTTTTCCATTTTGTATTGCTTTAATATTCCGTCGTGCTCAAAACAGAATGAAATAGAGATGATAAAATGCCGGATTAGAAAATCAGTCCAAAACGCAATTTAAAAAAAAATAAAAAATGTTGTGGTCAACTCACTGAATTAGTAGTTTCCTGGAATAAATATTTTTCCTGTATAATTCTACCTATATATCTAATATAAGACCCCTGACTTTTATTTAAACATCAGGGTTAAAGTGAAACCAATTAAGGTAACAAAGTCTTAATCTGACTTCCTCCTACAGTAAAACCCCATCCTCCCCCTCAATGCCTCAGAGGCTACAGATCTCCATAAAACTTATGAATTATTATTTTTTTAAATGAATTTAGTTACATGTCATGGTAATTTACTGCTTATCTGGCCACTGTAAAAAAAAGTGATATAAATATAAATAGTGAAAAAACTTGGTTCATCCAAAAAAAATAAGCTAATTGGCTCAGGTGAAATTGGTTTTGGTAACGTAGTATTTTGGTTTAGACAAATTCACTATGGAATAGTTTCAGGGGAAAAAATTTGTGTGAACCAAAATATAAATGTGTCCACTTTGATTCACAAGTCAAGTGAGAAGAAGTAACCAAGATAGGGCAAAAAATGAGGAACTGTAACAAATATATATTCATATATTAGATATTTATTAATGTAGAGTGCCTTTTGTTCCTCCTCATTTTCCCTCTATCTGACACTTCTCACTGATCTGTGATTTAAATCAATATTTAGTGACTGACCCTTAACCATCGATCATCATTGTTTTCCTATCAATCAACTATAGATGGAATTCCAAATCACAAAACAAGCAAAATGTCTTGTTCATTCGTCAATTCATTCGTCAATCCATTCGTCAATCCATAGTAATGATGCCTGGAATTCTACAAGTGCTATAATAATATCACAGCTTTTTTAGTATAGCATTGCTATAAAGAATATGGATGTTTTTTCAACATTTTCATGTCAAAATTTGAAAAGTGAGTCTAACAATTCAACCTAGATTTACGTGTGCCTTTAAATGAATGCTTCTCTCGCTGCCAAGCCATATTTTAGTAGATTAAGGCCAAAGATGGACTGGAGCAACATAACACAATGAGATTAATATTTTGTAATAGGATAATGAAGAGTTATTGTTTGAAAATTAGCAAATCATTCATTAATATTTGGAATGGGCTAAGGTAATATTTTAGAAAATAAGCTATTAATAGACAATATATAATAATGTAATATTTGTGGTGAGTCTTTTTAAAAGGTTATCATTTTAGTTTCATTAGATCATCAGACATTTATAAATTAAACAGACATTGAAAGCCATGTTTCAATGTTTGCAGATGACACAAAGCTAAGGTAATACAATGTGAGCAGGATATCACTTCTCTGTAGAGGGATTTAGATAGACTGGGGGACTGGGCAAACAAATGGCAGATTAAATTTAATGTATAAAAATGCAAAGTTATGCACTTTGGGGTAAAGAATGCCCCAGCTACTTATACCCTTAATGGAAGCGAATTAGGGATAACAACTAGAGAAGGATTTGGGAGTTGAACAATGTACAATGTCAATCAGCAGTTGCTAAGGCCAGTAAGGTTTTGTCATGTATAAATAGAGGCATTAATGGTAGGGATGAAAATATAATTTTGCCTCTTTATAAATCACTGGTAAGACCACGTCTTGAATATGTTGTGCAATTTTGTGCACCTGTTCTATTAAAAGACATTATGGAACTAGAAATACTGCAGAGGCGGGCTACAAAATGAATAATAAAAGCAATGGAACACTTTAGTTATAAAAAAAGGTTAACAAATTTAAACCCTTTTTTAGTTTAGAAAAATGGCGCCTCAGAGGGATATGATAACATGATACAAATTCATTGTCTTGAAATGTATTCATAAGGACATGAGGTCAGGTATTTAGACTGGAAGAAAGGAGATTTAACCTAAGGCAAAGGAAATGGTTCTTTACCATGAGAATATAAGGATGTGGAATTCGCTGCCTGAAGAGTTGGTTTTATCAGTCTGTACAGATGTTTAAACATAAACTGCATGCATACTTGCAAAAACATATCATTCACGCATAGGTTAGCTACAAATCCTTTTACATTAAGCTTGCCTAAATTTTTTAAATTCCCTTTTAACTTACACTTTAGTAAATAAGCCTGATTATGCGCATGATTAGATCACACAATAACATACATCATTTAAAATATGCTGGATTCGTCTTTGCTTGAATTGTTTACTTGTCCCTACATACGAGGTAATTATTCAGCATTTGCATACAGTACCATATGGTGATATATAAACCGTTTGCTTTTTTATTTTAATTTTGTTCTTTACATTTATTTGTAAGTCTTCAAGCCGCAACTGATGTTACAGTGCTAGAATTTACACTGTAAACATGGTTTTGTGATGCCCTTAAGATGAGCTTCCTACAAGTAGAATTCTGGCGTGTTAGATGGAACTTAACCCCTTCTTCAGCTGAAGTTGGAAGCCATCAACCCAGCAGTGAAGTTGTTAAATGGAAGAGGAGAAATTGCATCTTAAAAATTTGTCTCTGGTACCTGCGTGTGGCAGCAGATATTGAACTGACTTCATTAGCTGCCTAATGTCCCAGTAAATGACTGTCAGAATGTTTGACAGTTCCGCTGTATAGAGGGAGGCCTGCGTACCTGACGGTTAATGAGCCAAACGCAAAACAACCTTCTGTGAGGAAGCTTCAGCCACCTTTGTCAGAGACTAGATCTTCAAACAACCATCTGTGTTAGCTACACTGTCTCTTTGTCCGACGCACGAGAATCTCAGTTCTAAAGAGAACAGGCGAAAATTCCTGAAAGAGAATTGTGTCTTGTTCCCTAGTGTTTCTTGATAAACAAAAACAAACATCGAGGCTCCCTCTGCTGGAATCTGTCGTGTATAAATGCCGCTTTTGATCCACACTTGAAGAGTTTAGGTGTAGTGTGCCTTGTGACCTCTCCGTTTCATGGTGGCGCTGTTTTCAGTTGTCATCCACAGCTGTGGTTCTTAAAGGAGCGCTACAGCCAGACCAGTTTGTCTAAATTAGGTGGTCTGAGTGCAGTTTCCCTGCCCTCTTAACCATGCAATGTAAAATACTGGGGACTACTTTGTTTTTGTATTTTTCCTACTCTTAACAAAACGTAACAAAAGGCAGAGCTTACCCTTGGCAAGTTTTCATATTTCCCCAGGGCCATCGTTAATATATATTTTTTTGACAATCTTTATTTATTGTTTTTTTTAAGTTGGAATGGGATTACAGAAAGAGAAAAGAAGTACATTAAGTATCAGGTATTAAGCAGTACAGTAGTAAACATTTCCATGAATGGGAAATACATTGTGTAATATTCACAAGGTGCAAGTCAGGTTAGATTCTGGGAACGGATCTAGTAATCGGTTCATACTTTCACTGACTCCTCGTCTTGTATACCTAAATTGCGTAATTCACCTTACATATGCATTTTATAGTTATTGCCATGTATTAGCGCTGGTATGATCCGTGAGGCTTACGCTGGGTATGAGGTACTGCCCCGGGTTGTTGTTCGGTAGTCTGCAATTGCATTGTTCAGGTGGTGAGAGTATTACATTGCCCTAGAAGGGTATGGGCCAGGGTAACGATACTAGTGTATCTGGTATCTCCCTGCCTGTGCGTGGGTGTTCTGGGCTTTCTTTCTTTATAGCTTGATCTCGTGTGACTTGTGTGCTACTAGGGCAATAGTCAGGTGATGCAGATCTGGGCAGTACGCCTCTTGGTGTCTTTCGCTACCACAGAACAGGCATGAGGGTGTTACAAGTGGTGGGCTGAACCATGAACCGGGGTTGACCCAGTCATTGTACCTGTTTGTTTTGCGTCACATGTGCTAGCTGTATCTCTCTTTGCTAGTAGTCCCTATTCGTATGTCCTGTCTATTCGACGGTTTGGGTCCATCGTTAATATTGAATGGACGCTGGGCAACCATTTGCTTAGGCCCCCTGGACCCTGCCCCCTCCCACTCCCTGGCATGCAATCAAGCCACCCACCCCAACGCAGTGGTGGAACTAAAGTAGAAAAGGTTCTGGGTGACCAAAAGGTGGCTCTACCATTTCCCCATGCTTGCAGAGCAGTGTTTGTGTGTATGAATGTAAGCATGTGTTCCTATGGAGTATGTTTGTGTGAAGGTAAGAGTGTGTTTGTGTGTGGTGTAGGCATTTGAATAAAGCAAGCATGAGTTGGTTTTTGGGTGCAGGGGTGTGTTATATTTAATGCCACACACACACTGTGATACACATACACACACACTGTGATACACATACACACACACAAATACACACTCACACACATGCAGATACACATACACTGACACACACAGATACACAGATATTCACACTAACACACATGCAGATACACAGATATTCACACTAACACACATGCAGATACACAGACACACTGACTGACACAGATACAGACACACCAATACACATACAGACAAACAGATACACAACCTGACACATATGCAGATACTCAGACACACAGATACACATACTGAGAATAGACAAATACACAAATACACACAAGGACAACATACAGATATACACACATACAGCTAAACAGTCAGATACACTGTCAAACATACCGACATGCACAGAGATGCATACACTATACAGACATACTGACACACACACAGACACACATTGACAGACATACTGACACACAGACACACATACTGACACACAGATACATACACTGACAGGCATACTGGCACACACAGGCGCATACACTGACAGACATACTGATACACACTGAGAGACATACTGACACATACACAGACACATACACTGACAAACATACTGACACATACACTGGCAGACATACTGACATACACACATTCACTGACAGACATACAGAAACATACACTGACAGAAATACTGACACACACAGAGACACATACACTGACATACATACTGATACACACTGAAAGACATGCTGACACATACACACACACATACTGACATACACACAGAGACACATTCATTGACAGACATACTGACACACTTGCAAAATTTTAATTTTTTAATCCACCCTTCAGTTTCCTACCTTTTGCTGGAGGGTAGATTCCCTGGGATTCAGTGTGGTGCCTGAAGTTGTTGGGAGTTGGGGTGTGGCTCTCCCTGCTCCACCCACGTAGCTCTGTGTTCTCTGTGGGAGGAAGGGAGTTGCGTCTGTCACTTCCTCTCACTCTGCCGATAAACAAGGGGTCTCAGTCGTACTGTTAAGGGGCCACAGCGCCCGACCAGGCCCCTGCTGACGAATGCCCACCAAGTGACCCTAAGTGCAGGGGCACCTGAGAGGCCTCCTTAGACTGCGGGCTCCTGACTGCACCAGACAGTCACTGAAAAAAATAAAGTGCGGGCTGCAGGTTCACAGGGCAGCTGCTTTGAGCCCCCCAGGAGTAAACCCTCTGAATTACTGATACGCGGCAGTGCCCGAGAAAGGGTTAATCCATTTTCTTGAGGGGTGAAGGGTTCTCGGATTATTCAAAGACGCTACCATGTTAGTATTTATCATTATTATTAGTTAATGCATAATGACACTCCAAACACAAATAAAATGTACTATTGTTTCAGAACCTCATTAAGTGATGCCATTATGAAGTTGCTTTTTTGTTTTTTTATTGCTTTTATGGGTATTGAAATAAGTGATTTTAAAAGTCATATTACGTTGTGTTATTATATGTCGTTTTTTGCTTGTCAATAAACATTGTGATCACTATTTACAAAAAACTATTTAAAAAAAAATAATCAAATTTTGTGATGAGGGGCTTTAACAGGGAAACTACGGTAGTCTCACGCAGGCTGTACCTTGTTTCCCTGTGGCAGAGAAGGGGTTAAGCTGACTTCACTCTCCATGCGCTAGACACCTGCCCATTAGACAGGCGCCAGCACTGCTCACTCAGAGCCCCAAAGGGCCGGTGTGACTACATGTGGTGTCCCAGCAGGAACTGCTGCCTACAGCCTCGTGGGATCTCCTACCACTCCCTGCAATTTCATGCTTCCCTTAACAAATATCTGCTGTCTGTACTCTGAAAAACTAAAAACCTTCAGGGCTGTCAGGAAAGGGCAAACGTGACTGCGTGTGTTTATATATTTATATATAGTCGCCTAATGTAATTTTGATGTATATGTTTTGTTTTATAGAAGAAAATATGTACAGTAGTGCTGTACATGGGTTGTGACATGTAATTTTATAATCTATACGTATAACACTCTTTGCCAAGGATCTGAAATACATACATTATACAATTAAAATGACCTTATTCAATTGTAATATAACAAAATGCATTCTGTAAAATGCCATGATTAGACAATTCCCTGTGTTTAGAGGATTCTCTGTTGCAATGAGGAAGATGTTATTGCTACAATAACATTAATCAATTTATCATAGACAGTTACTTGGGACTGATATGTGTGCCTCTGAGGATCAAAACAAGATTTCCCATAAAGCGGCATAGGATACCGCCTATAGCCCCTGCTCAGACATCTGCCCAATTGCCCCTCTTTGGACCTGAAGCTCCAGATCTGGCTGTGATCTGAGCCCCTCATAAACTGACAGGTGGATCAACAGATTTCACATTTTTGCCCTGTTATCTGCTGGAGCGAGCTTTGTGAGATCGTCTTTGGGTGCAGATCACATTAAGAGCTCTCGAGAGGTCTCCTAGCACTTCTCAATGACTCAGATAGCTGCAGTCAACAATCTGTGTCATTGACACAGCACAGAGACAGCCAGGGAACGCTTAAAAGGATCTGCATCCAATATTGGTTCAACCATACCAAGACCCCTACCAAGCCACCAGGGATTTAGCTCCTCAGCATGTCTTTACTGGACCACCCAGGATAACAACTCCCCTTCTAATAAAATGTAAGCAGGAGGGGGGCAAGTTAAACACTTCCCCACACATAACATTGAGCCACACTCAGGGTCATCTTAACAGCATCATAGGACCCGGGCAAAATGGTGCACTGGGGCCCTGCCTGCACAACCACTCACAGGAATGAAAATGTAAATTATCAATAAAATTAAGCTTATATTATAGGCAGGTCCAATAAAAAAAACATGCTGTTCGCAGAAATTAATCCACACGGATGTTTAGTAGGTAGCGAGGGAAAGGCAACTAACATGAACTGTTAAAAATATTAGAAGAACGTTATTATGGCTTTACAGATTCAAAAAAATATGTGTTGATTTTGTCTTTGATTTTGTACAATTAGTATGTGCACGTTGTTTTTGTCAACGTCAATATATGTATTTTCAACAGCAAGATTGCATGTACAGGTAACATATCATACTAATTGATTAATCCACTTACATAAACCAGAGGGTTTAAAGTTTAAAGTTTCTGAATAAATGTCCCCGAATAATATACTGAAGAGTTGGCCTATAGGGCACCTATGCTCGTGGGGCCCCTGGGCATCTGCCCAGCATGACAATGCACTGAGACAGCCCTGGCCACACTCAGACTTCCAACCACACACAAATTCAGTCACTACACACAAGGCACTCATCCAGCACACAGGCATGTTTAGCCTCCTCCACACACACTACATTCAGCCGCTACACACACTGTCACAATACTCAATCTTCCCCACAACCAAACAACACTCAGTTAAAGGGACACTATAGTCACCAGAACAACTACAGTGTAATGTAGTTGTTCTGGTGAGTATAATCATTATATGCAATCATTTTTATGCAAACACTGCCTTTTCAGAGAAAAGGCAGTCTTAACAGTGCCCATAGGGACACCTGCAAGTGGCCACTCCTCAGATGGCCACTGGAGGTGCTTCCTGGGGCAATGCTGCACAGTAGGCAGCACCGCCGTTCAGCATCTCCACGCTCTGCATGGGGATGCTGAATTTTCCACATAGAGATGCAGTGATTCAATGCATCTCAATGAAGGAGTGCTGATTGGCCAAAACTGCTTTTTGCCCTGCCCCCTTGCTGATTTTATCCAATCCAATGCTTTCCCCATGGGAAAGCATTGGATTGGCTAAAAATCTGCAATTCTCATTATGTCATCAAGAGGGTGTAGCCAGTGCCGGCGGAGCCAGGGCCGGAAGACCAGCGCGGTGCTGGAAATAAGTGAGATAAATGAGTTTTAATTCCTTTTAAGGGGACTAAGGGGGGGCAAGCCACCTAAATGGTGGGTTTAACACTATAAGGTCAGGAATACATGGTTGTGTTCCTGACCCTACAGTGTTCCTTTAACACACACGCAATCCGGACAAAATCTGGTGTTTAGTGAATAACCCTGTATGAGTTCTATTCCAGTGGGGCACTGATCCTACAAAGGTCCTGAATTCCCCCATACAAACACAGATATTCTGAACAGATATTCTGGAGAGTAGGGCAGAATTAGAGAGCGTTTTGCATCCCCTGTGAATGTTCTTCCCAAACAGGCACACTGGAGAGGCATCAATTAATACCTGGCGACACTGAGAGTTCAAAAATCAGGGCAGGAGAATGCATGGTTGCCAAAAAATGGTGCATCATCAAGGCACTCGTATGCACCTGGTTCGCAGAAAGCCTTCCAAGGCTGCCAATCAGGTGTGTCTAAATGCAGAGTAATGCTGAAGTGGGCTTATATGGACAGGAGTGTTCTTAAATAGAGTGGCACAGCAGCAAGTCCATTTAATGAAATACTCACTTTTCCCTGTCCCAACAAGCAAGATTTTAAAAATAAAAAAGCATGGCGGCAGGAGAGGGCCCCAAATTAGGACCAAAGTGGGATTGACACTTTATTAGTGCAGACATACTGATCCTCTAGACATCCCTGGCTACCATTTGTATTTCTCAATTATTAATTCTTGGCTCTCTCATTCACAAAATAAAATCCTTGTTATACAGTAAAGAATTTATAGAACAGAACCTTCAGGGTGGGCAGAGGACACAGATGACAACGAAACTGTCAGATTTTTGCTCTGGAGAAAAATAAACAGTGTCGTCTCTTGACGATCTGTACCGAGACCTGTGCCTGTCAATATTTTATATTATATTTAATGTAATATATCATTCATAAATATTTAAGCGAGATGTGTAAATAGCAAGGAGGGCAGAATTTGCAGATGGCACAGGAATTTGCAGGAAAGCAGAATTAAAACCCAACTGTGAGATGTTGCTGAAGGATTTTTCCAATCTGGAGACAATGTAACAGCTCGATGGGAAAGTGCTTTTACTGCTGACGTGGGCAAAGTTTTCGAGCTTTAGGGTAAAGGTTAGAGACGGCAAAGACAGTCTGTAATTGTCTGGCGATTCCAAGGGCAAGCAATTGCGGCTTTCTAAAGATTGTTGTAGAATACAGGATACACGTTTGATGCTGCAGTTTTTTGTAGATTGCCTTAAGTCTGGTAGAGCATCATGGGACATGTAGTCCATCACTCATGTAGAAGTATTCCATTTATCCTTACATAGCATAGTGGTATTATTATCTTATTATTTTGTTAACTTTAAGGCCTTGATTTAATTGACTTCCTTTTTTTGCATCAGCTTTTCAAATGATTTCATATTTTTAGAATTTTTTTAAAATTATTTAATGTTTTGAAAAATATTTTAATATTCAGATTTTTTTATATATATTGATATTTTTTATATATGTGATATATTTTTTTGATATTTTGAAAATTTTGAAAATATCATTGGTAAAAATGTATCCTATAATGTTAAAACATTTCAAAACTCTATCCAAAAATATTGAACCGAGGCCTGTATTACTCAAGTATACAAATAAACACAAAGGGGTTTGTGCAATCGCCATTGGTGAGGTTCCTAGTAAGAGAAGGAATTGGTGGTAGTGGAACATCTACAACTACAAAACAGTCAGTTATCCAGTCGTTTTGTTGCATCTCAATTGATATCTTACATTGCAGTCCAAAAACAAAATTGATAAATCAGATTGTACATCCACTGAGCTGATTACTCTGTATCTATGTGACATAAAATCATAACTCAGTTTTGGGTAGCTGTTAATGGCTATTTACCCCATCATACCTGTCATTACGTCCACTTTCAACTTTCTTAGCCTTCAATTTAATATTGTTGTATAAGCTTTCCAAATTATTTGATATTTTTAGATAAACGTTTAAAATCATTTTTAAGATTGTGAAAAATATTTCAGTTCTGTAATAACAAATACCAAAACTCATCAGTTGTAGAGGAAAAACCTAAATCAAGTTATACAACCCACAAGATACAATTCCTGGTTGTTGTGTATACATCTCATGTCATTAGAAGCCAGTGGAGGATATGGTGTTATAAAAAGGACAGCACATCTAAATCAGCCTATTTCATACTTTGTAGTATTATCTAATATGTCACATGGTGCACAGTTCACATAGAAATGTCGTGGTTTTAATTGTTCTCATTGGTGAATCTATCCGTCCGTGTCCCTCCCTCTCCCACTCTTATAAAGCTGTATAGATCAGGATATTAGATATGGCTGTCTGTGTAGCCATGGTTCTGGACAAAGGCACAACTTTTCAAATAAAAAAAAGGGACACTTTAATTTTAGGAGTGTAAGTGGTGGTGTATGAATTAGGCAGCGTATGTATTTGGCAGTGTGTGTGTATGTATTAGGCAGTGTGTGTGTATAAAGTAGTTTGTGTGTATATGGATGTATTAAGCAATCTGAATGTATGTAAATTTGTGCAGGTATTAGGCAGTGTCTGTGTGTGTGTATTCAAAGATTTGTGTGTATGTATTGGGCAGTGTGTGCATGTGTGTATTCAAAGATTTGTGTGTATGTATTGGGCAGTGTGTGCATGTGTGTATTCAAAGATTTGTGTGTATGTATTGGGCAGTGTGTGTATTAGGTAGTGTGTGTGTGAGTTTGTGTGTATTAGGCAGTGTGTGTATGAGTTTATGTATGAGTAAGGCAGTCTGTGTGTATGTGTGTGTATATATTAATCTGTTTCTGTGTGTTTTTGTTAGATATGATGTATTAGGCCGATTGCATGTTTATGCAGAGGCATAGCCAAAAGCGGACCAAATGTGTATTAGTAGCACCTTGTGCACAACAAGATCCCAGTTGTTATAGTGCATACTGAACCCTTACAAACGGGTTATACTGGTGCAATGGTGAAAAGACTTTTCACAAAAATGCCACAGAATGGCACTGAATGGCACTGATGAATTTTTGTTTTGAAACGCTAAAGTTTGTTGCTGTTGTTACACATGAGATTTTCCTGTTATTTGACAAATAATGGCGTTCTTTAAATAAGCCCCAGAGTACCATTTTTACTCTGATTTCTAAACTCTACATATATGTTATATATAATGCCAGCTCCAGCCTCCAATTAATAGAGAGCCACAAAGCAGAGCACTCATTGGTCTTCCTAGAATCTGATCTGATTTCAAACTCAGTTATAGCACAACATTAAAGATGTCAGTCCATATGCAGACTTTCATTATCCTATAAATCACTATTAATTGGAGGCTGGAGATGCATCTTGGCAAAGATTCCTGAAGAGTGAGTGCAGAACCATGATTTATATACAGTATATATATTTATTTATTGATTTATTTTATTTTTCAGGCCTATGATTTAGTGGTAGAAATTATTAGTTAGTGCCCTTCTCCCACCGTTTTGTTCTTGGTATCTTATGTGCCCTGCGGCCGCCCTCTATATATTGTTCCTAGAGTCACCACTGCAGCCCAGAACTCTGCATGAGAAGCCTGTGATTGGACCACTTTGATGATGTTGGATGGGGCATGGAGGGCAGCGCCGGTAGCGTCACCTGGCACTGGAGTCCAGATAAGTAATAAACGTTATTTGCATGTTTACTGCAAAATGCAGGCGAGGGCTATTTGCATGGGCGTCCGCAGGAGGGGGCAAGAGGGGGCACTTTCCCCCCAGCCCCTTTTCAGCTTGCCTCCTCCCCCCGGGCCAGTGCTTCCCAGCTCACGGAGGATACTTCCGAGGAGAGCCTGCTGCTGATCGAGTCGATCAGTACCACAGCAGCTATCAGCTTCACAAAGCCCAGTTCAGTGTCAAGTTAATCAGGCTATGTTCAGCATAAGGCAGAGCCACAGTCCATGGCTCTCTCTCCAGGTCCTAACCCTACACTATTGTCCCTAACCCCCTTCTACAGGTTCTAAGCCCATTACTGCTCCTAATCCCCCACTATGGCCTCTTACCACCCACTACAAGTCCTAACCCCCCACTATTGTCCCTAACCCCCTCTACAGGTTCTAAGCCCTTTACTGCTCCTAACCCCCCACTATTGCCCCTACCCCCTCTACAAGTTCTAAACCCCACTACAGCCCTGTCAGGGTCTTACCTGAGTTGGGAGTCTGTAGCGCAGATATGATGCTCACCCTTGCAGATAGCCACAGGCCGAGGTGGTCAGGTAAGAATTCACCTGGCCTGTGGGTCTGTGCACGGGGGCTGTGCAGGATGCAGTACCAATACGCAGGACAGGCAAGGACTGAACCAGCAGGATGGTCGAGGGATAGCCGAGGTCAAAGGATGCCAGAGGACAGGAACAACGAGGAGTAGCCGAAGTCAAGGGATGCCAGAAGTCAGAATAAACGAGTCAGGAAGCCGGGGTCAATAATGCGAAGCGATGAAACAGGAACACTAGAACAAACAGGATCAAAGACTTGACACTGAGCACAGGGCGAGGCTGGGTTTATATACCCTGCTGATGACTGATCAGAGTCAGGTGAAACACAGCCAAGTCAAGGTGCAGCCCCCAGAGTAGTAGCCATGTCAGGATGAACAGGACTGGAATCAGTCTTCACTGTAAATAGCTGCTGTGGCTCAGAGGTAGAAAGCAGGACCAGGACTGAGAAGATCCCCGGTTCAAGTCCCCTGTTGGGAACTCCAAGAGCGACCACGTCTTGCCGTCTGTCTATCAGGTGAGAACCGTGACAGTACCCCCCCCTTTAAAAACGACCTCCGGGCGTAAATAGGTTCACTGTCAGCATAGTACACCTCTCCAGGGTCACTATCTGAATCCAGTGAGTCCCCATAGTCAAACTCCCCAGCAAGGATTCCCTTTACAGCTTGGGAGTCCGCAGTACCAGCTTCTGGTACGGCTGGAGAATTGTCCAGGTCTTTTAGGTTCCGGGTACAGGTGGCAAGCACTTCCAAAACTTTGGCAGGAGCAGTGTTCGCAGCTAACAATGCTTTTTCGAACATTTCAAGGTTTCTTTACGGACTATAGTGCCATTAGAAGCAACGGCACAATCCACAGGTAAAACCTCTTCGGGCGGGCAGGAAGTAGTGGTGGTATCACAGGAAGCAACTTCGGGAGTAGATGCAGGAGGCTCTGGAGCAGGGGATGGAGGTTTTCTCGCGGAGGCCAAGCATGTGCAAGCACAACGGCTTCTATTTGGCTTTTTAGGCTGGTATGCGGTGTACACAGGGCGAAGGAAACTAGTACCAAGTCGGAGAGCTGGAGGTCTAGGAGGGCGAACAGGACAAAGCGTGATGAAATGCCCTTTTTCTCCACAGTAGTAACACAGGCCATAGCTTCTCCTTCGGTCTCTTTCCTTAGGTGTCACTTTGCAGTGGACGAGTCCTAATTGCATAGGTTCCACAGGGTCAAGTGGAACACCGGATACCTCTGGAGATTTCCTGGAAGCTGGAACATAAGGAGGCATCTCTGGGGCGTAGTGGTGGTACTCGGTTACTTGGTTAGGAAGAATCTGAGATTTTTTAGTACGTGGAGCTGACTTGGCCACAGTGGTCTTACATTGTGAGTCCATAGCAGTACTAAAGGATTCCCAGCTGACCAGGACAGGACTCTTCGTCTGCAACATTTGGTGAGCCCAAACTTTGATGCGTCCAGACAACAGGTTGATAGCCGCTCGGACCTTGATAAAATCTGTGGCATATGTTCGAGGCTTTAAAGAAAACAACACCTCACAATCCATCTTGAAAGACTGAAAGGATGTGCGGCTACCATCAAATCGGTCGGGCATGATGACAAACGGTTCAGGAAAAGCTGGTTCCGGGGCTGGATGTACTGCGCCTTTAAGGAATAAAATTTCTTGCTGCAGCTCCGAAACAGTCTGGGCCAGGCTGGACACACGCTGGGTCGAGGGTGAGCACATCTCTGCGGACTCCATAATGGTCAAGTCTTATGTCAGGGTCTTACCTGAGTTGGGAGTCTGTAGCGCAGATATGATGCTCACCCTTGCAGATAGCCACAGGCCGAGGTGGTCAGGTAAGAATTCACCTGGCCTGTGGGTCTGTGCACGGGGGCTGTGCAGGATGCAGTACCAATACGCAGGACAGGCAAGGACTGAACCAGCAGGATGGTCGAGGGATAGCCGAGGTCAAAGGATGCCAGAGGACAGGAACAACGAGGAGTAGCCGAAGTCAAGGGATGCCAGAAGTCAGAATAAACGAGTCAGGAAGCCGGGGTCAATAATGCGAAGCGATGAAACAGGAACACTAGAACAAACAGGATCAAAGACTTGACACTGAGCACAGGGCGAGGCTGGGTTTATATACCCTGCTGATGACTGATCAGAGTCAGGTGAAACACAGCCAAGTCAAGGTGCAGCCCCCAGAGTAGTAGCCATGTCAGGATGAACAGGACTGGAATCAGTTTTCACTGTAAATAGCTGCTGTGGCTCAGAGGTAGAAAGCAGGACCAAGACTGAGAAGATCCCCGGTTCAAGTCCCCTGTTGGGAACTCCAAGAGCGACCACGTCTTGCCGTCTGTCTATCAGGTGAGAACCGTGACAAGCCCATAACCCCCCACTATTGCCTCTAACCACCTACTACAGGTCCTAACCCCCCACTATTGCCCCTAGCCCCTCTACAAGTTCTAAACCCCACTACAGTCTCTAACCCCCCACTATTGCCTCTAACCACCCACTACAGGTCCTAAACCCCCACTATTGCCCCTAACTCCCTCTACAAGTTCTAAACCCCACTACAGTCTCTAACCCCCCACTATTGCCTCTAACTACCTACTACAGGTCTTAACCCCCATTATTGCCCCTAACCCCCTTCTACAAGTTCTTAACCCCACTACAGCCCCTTACCCCCCACTATTGCCTCTAACCACCTACTACAGGTCCTAACCCATCACTGTTGCCAATAAGCACCCAATACAGACCCTAACCCCCATTACAGCCCATTACCCCCTTTTATGACCCCCACTCCATCACTACAAGTCCTGACCCCTCCACTACAGGTCCTGACCCTCAGCTACTGCCCCTCACCAATCACCACACATCCTGACCCCCTTTCACCACAGGTCCTGAACCCCCCCCCCTCATTGCCCCTTACCCTTCCTATTGACCCTCACACCCCACCACAGGTCCTGACCCCTCCCCCACTACAGGTCATGAACCCGCTACTACAGACACTGACCCACCCCACTACTGGCCCTGACCTCCCACTACAGTGAGCTTGTATGTAAGTGAGCTTGTGTGTGTCTGTGAGCTTTTCTGTAGTGAGCATGTGTGTGTGTCAGTGAGTTTGTCTGTAGTGAACATGTGTGTCAGTAAGCATTTCTGTAGTGAGCATGTGTCAGCGAGCCTGTCTGTAGTAAGCTAGTGTATGTGTGTCAGTGAGCTTGTCTGTAGTGAGCATGTGTATGTCAGTGAGATTTTCTGTAGGGAACATGTGTGTCAGTGAGCTTGTCTGTAGTCTGCATGGGTATGTTGTATGTATGTCAGTGAGCTTGTCTGTAGTGAGCATGTGTGTGTCAATGAGGTTGTCTGTAGTGAGTGTGTGTATGTTGTGTGTATGTCAGTGAGCTTGTCTGTAGTGCGCATGAGTTTGTCAGTGAGTTTGTCTGTAGTGAGCGTGTGTGTGTGACAGTAAGATTGTCTGTCGTAGGTTTGTGTTTGTATATCAATGAGTCTGTCTGTAGTAACATTGTGTGAGTGTCAGAGTTTGTACTAAGTGTGTTTGTGCATACCAGCAAGCTTGTCTGTGTGTTTAAGTGAGATTGTCTGTCAGTGAGCCTATTAGTGTGTATCAGTGAGCTGGTGTTTTTATGAGCTTATATGTATCAATGAGATTGTCTGTCTTTAAACCTGTGTCAATGAGCTTGTGTGCTTGTGTCAGTGAAATTGTCTGTCTGCATGTGAGTATGCTTACTGTATAATTAAATTTTTTACACTGACTGAACCAATATTTTGAATTAGAAAAAGAAATATACCAATAATATATATATAGACAGACAGATAGATAGATAGATAGATAAACACACACACATATATATATACTCACAGACTACATTGCACGATGACCTATGGGGCTGGCATATATTTTTTTCCAGGGCTGCTTTGTAGCCCCAGTCCAGCCCTGCAAAAAAGGGCCGAGCATGGATGTTTTTACAATTATGCCCATTCCTTCCTCCCCCCTGGAAAAAGTCCTGCTGACGCCCATTGCTAATTGGAAATGTTAAATCAAAAAATGCCTCCTACCTCTAAAATGCACATCTTGATTGCCTCTCTTTTTATATGACTGTTTGTTTTGCCAAATTTGGGAAATCATTTAGTAGAGAGATCAGGACAATTTGGAAGATGAATTATAACTTGATTTACCGTCTTCTGGAATTTACTGAGCTGCCTCTGTATTGACCTGGACGAGTTCTAATTCACAAATCATCCAAATCAGCCAGACTGGTCCTAAACATGCCTGCTGTGGATCAAGAATTGTTCAGGAATTAATTTCCCAAACAATTAATTAATTATTTCCCTCAAATCAATAAAATAAATTTAAAAAAATAAACACATTGAACCATATGGCAATGCAAAAAAAATCTGTATTTTTCCCATTTAATAAATTTCAGAATTTTCTACTTCGTATGATATTCACATGATTTTTATCAAGCCAGGATCATTGGTAATTAGATGTGTATAGTTGGTCTGATTGACTGATTTTTACCCTTGAATTGTCTATAGTAAATACCTGGTTTTTAAAGTATTTGGACATCAGTGAATAGAAGAGCCACTTCATTGCCCTCCAGCTAGTTTGTGTATTTATATTGAAAATAATTGTATTCCATATTTTCATTATTATCATTGAAATAAATTACTGTGTGGGCAACTGGAAAATCTCCTAAGTTTGCCTAATTATAAGGGATTTCCATTGTGTAAGCAGACACACGTCAGTCAGTATGGAAGGGGAATGAGTAAATCCCATATATATTAAACTTACTGCTGCACAAATAAACCCATGACTGATAATGAGAATGTTCACCTACTTCTGGACACAAGAATTACCATTTCAAGTACCATAACCACTACATTTTATCAAGAGTCCATGTAGGAAGCAGTAGCAGAAGGAGAAGGTATAGAACTGTGCCGACTTACAGGATTTAAGCTGGCCCTCAGCCTGTGACCAGTGCTACCCACAAGGCATTTGCCCAGTTTGCTCAGTGGCACAGTGGCTAGTCTGATCGTACTTCTTTCTATTAACCCCTTAAGGACACATGACGGAAATATTCCGTCATAATTCCCTTTTATTCCAGAAGTTGTGTCCTTAAGAGGTTAACATCCGTCCATATGTCTTTCCTCTTCAGACCAGCGGGTCACATGTCGATTATTCTGCACACAACGTTTAGACACACAATGGGGCACACAACAACACCATTCCTCTATGGGTTACCATTGCAGTATGTGTGTTATGGTGTCTGCTGTCTCAATACTGTAGTCATGAGGTAGGAGGCAGGGACTGTGCAAGTCCTTTGCTAACCCAGAGCTGTGTGGGTTTGTGCTTGGGCTGTTGTGCAGGCCCGGATTGGCCCACTGGGATATTTGCTAATAGGCAGAGGTATTTGGAACCAATCGGAATGCCAGACTGTCAGTTGAGAAGATATAAAGTGAGATAATACAGTGACCTGTACATTCATAGCACATGCACGCTGGTTTTGGTGGGCAGTAGAGTAGAGGGAAACAGAATCCACTTCCCTTTGGAACGCACAGGTCTGGTTGCAGAGATATTTGAGGTCCAGGTGCGTTACTGGGAGGAAATAAAAAGCCCGGGTCTAATTTCTGGGCACCATTTCATTGTTAGTCACCCACCAAATGTCTTACTGATCAATTGTATCATTTGTATTGACCAAAATACCACAATAATCCCATCTTACTCATTTATTTATTGCTATGGTAATTAATTAATTAATGCTCAGGCCACAGAATATATTTTCCTTCCCAGTTAGCTTCAATGGCCTGCATGTAGTGCATATTCTCTGGTTTTTAGACATGTGCCATGTTGAAGACTGTTATAGACACAAGCCCTGGACATTTTATTAGCTAAGCTAAAACCCTAGCTGCAGAATTTCTACAGAACGCTACAATGCTATATTTCTTCTTTGGCTCCTAAAATCATAATTAAGTCTTCTTAATTCTCCAAATATTAGTCAAACTCTGCATTGAAGATATTATTAAAAACCTTTTTTGTTTGAGCATTTTGTCCCCTTATTCCAAACTCAAAACGGCACAATGAAACCAAACTATGACCTTCATATTCCAAATGAATATATATTGAATATTATCTTGCATATAAATATTAATATTCCTCTGCATTCTCTTGTTACAAGTTGCGGCTCATGATAAAAAAATAGTCTTAATATTAAAAGAAGCCATGTGATTTAAGATCCACTATGTCTTTTAACATTTTTACAAATGAATTGCTAAATAATAAATATATTTCTATTTGACTGCATCCACATACTTCTGGAGTCTTTAACTAAATGCAAAAAAAAAAACATACATAGTACATCAAACATGCTGAAATGGATCATTATCAGTCACAGCACATAACAGGTGCACACATTATTCTTTAACATTTAATACTTGGTTTATGAAACACCAGCGACGATCTCACTGATACATTACAGAAAAGGTTTTTGCTTCCTGAAGAATTAAAAGCCATCTGCACTCAGTTTGCACTGGAATTAAACACTCATTTAAAGCATTAATTCATATTGTTTTCAATATTTCAGTAAACATTTCAATAGAAAGACTCTTTGTTGTAAGATATCTCTAGCAGCCTCGAGCTTTTCCGAAACCCTTTTCCGTGATGGAGCACTGAACGCCCCTTCCAGCTCCCTGGGCAATGAAAGGGTTAATTGAAGCATCTTACTTGCGCAAACTTAGCTAATTTTGTCCTGTAGCATTACCCCCGGGTGGAGGCGCTCAGCAGCTCGGAGAGCAGCTGTTAATCTGCCGACTGCCTAAGGCTCACCAGACCCTCTATTATATAGGACAGATGTTGGGCCTTTTCTTCGGTCAGCTTAAGGCACAAGAAAACCTTTTCGATGAGGCTTTTGGTAGAGTTTCTAAATTACACACTGAGAGGATGCTTAATTGGTTTAATTAAGAAAGTTTATTTTCTGGCTAGTCAGATTTTTAACACTTCCAGAAAAAGCTTCTTTTTTTTTTTGTCTCAGATCTCCAGCGACGCTATAGTCAAACCTTGGCTAATTTAGCCTAAATTTTGCAATTTAGTTTTCAATTTAATAAGATTCTGAATTTAGTGAATAAGCCCCTGTGTCTCTGCTGCTTGCTAATACTGTCGATATAATATATGTATATAGAATACAGAACTTGTCTTTTCACTTGTTGGAAATTTAAATTTTTTGTGCTTTCCAGATCACTTTAATTGAGCATATAAGATCTATCTATATCCTTACATATTCATAAATGCATACTTCTACAAAAGGCATTGGCGGTCCTGGTCTTATGAGCTTGGGAACCTGACGGGAAGGAGGAGGGTGACAGAATACAGGGTTAACAGGGTTGAAAGAGCTCCGAAGAGCAGGGAAAAGGAATGCTTAATACAGTGAGCTTCTAAAATGATTGATTGTCTTGATCTGAAGAGAGAATTTATTGAGGTGTAGGTGGCAAGTTTCTTCAAGTAGGTGGGTTTACAGAGAGTACTTAAGGGGACACTCCAAGCACCATAACCACTGCAGTCTTAGTTCAAGAGAACAGAAGCTAGTCATTAGGAGCTTCTGGCTCTCACTGAGCTGTTGGAGATGGTCAAACTGTGCCTGGGGGTTCCCAAAACAATTCTAAAACAGTTTAACTTCATACAATGGGGGATGCCATGGCACTTCTGGCACCATAACAACTGCTGCATGTTGTAGTAGTTATGGTGCTTGGAGCATTCCTTTAAAATTGATGAATGCCTGGATAGTAAAATTTAGCAAGGTAAGGACAGGTGCGCTGAGCTATAAACATATCACAGCTATTTGTTATGCGGGACAGTAGAAATCTTTGTCGGATTTTTGGTGCTTTATATTTGGGTACAGTGTTTTATTCACCCCCAATACGCATGCTTTCTGTTTGTACCAGATGCTTAATGTTGACCTTGTACAACCGCAAAAGATAACCTGAGCTTTCTCTATAGACCTCAATACAAACTATTACTTTCAGCCTGGACAGTGCACTCAGCTAATACTTAGGAGACATTTTGCACTAATAATTCTGGACAATAGTTATGTGATGTCACGATTTGTGTCATGATGTCATCACAGGGGAGTAGGATTGTTTGATGCAAGCATCAAGCATGTTTCTTGTAATTTGTTAATGATGTCACTTTAGAATGTTGGATTTATTTCATAATTTTGCTCCGTGGATACATACAGGGAATTGTGCTAGCTGTGACAATTTTATTTTAAAGCACGGTTGACCGGCTGTTACATTTTAACCCACTGCCAACCCTAGGAGCTCACACGCAGAGCCATTTCTCTAAGCCTCTTTTAATAAAAATAGATTGTAATCTCACAGGGGCAATAACTCAGCTAACATGTCTGCTTTTACCTTGTGTTGTATTGTTTATATCCCAAGCACTATATAAAAATGACAGGATTATTGTTTTCTGACAGTTTATCATGCAAGGAAATTTCACAGATGACTGTGCTGCAACTCATTCCTCTGACTACTTATTATCCTGACTGCTCTACCCATGGAAAACCCATCTCCGGCAGTATGGGTTAAACGGGTGATACATTGAGCAATTCAGAGAACCACTGGAGTTACACTGATGCATAATTGGTAAAAAAAAAATATATATATATATATATATATATATATATATATAAAAGATATAAAACATGTCATTGTTAATAAAATTAATACAGCAGGTAGATTATTTAATGTTAACTGTATGTTCAATTTTTTTTAATTTACATTTTTTTATCAACCAGATAGAAACATAGAATGTGACAGTAGATACGCACCATTCGGCCCATCTAGTCTGCCCAAATTTTCGAATACTTTTATTAGTCCCTGGTCTTATCTTATAGTTAGGATAGCCTTATGCCTATCCCATGCATGCTTAAACTCCTTTACTGTGTTAACCTCCACCACTTCAGCTGGAAGGCTATTCCATGTTCCAATACTACCTGATATTATTTTTAGACCTTTGCCCCTCTAATTTAAGACAATGTCCTCTTGTTGTTGTATACTCTCCTCCTTTAATCCATGGATAATTGATTTCAGAACTGTTATATAGTAGATTTGTCTACTCAGTGGTGAAAATAGCATTCATGTTCCCATTTCTGACCAGTGTTTGAACCCATTAAATGATGCAATCTTTTATCAAATCAGTTATATCCTCAAAGGCAGGTGAGATACTGTGACTGTCTCCTTCTAACTGTAGTTGTAGTTGCCCCCTCCCATGCCTTATACTCCCTAGCTCCCTATAGAGTCCTATACTGTTTCTCTTGTAGAATCATGGACCTTCGTAGTTCTCCTGAAGAGCATCATACTTATACATGGTGATACCTATTTGGCTGATGGCCAATAAAATACATCAGCAGGGATACAAAGGGTCTTCATGTCATTGAGTTGAACCTGTCTCTGCTTCAACATATAATGATCCATTTATATCAAAGCTCTGCATATGTGAATCCACAAACCTTACTCCACTGGGGGCTAAATTCTTCAAACACCCCCAATGAAACCTTTGATTCTTGCTTTGTTCTTCTCTATGTTTACTAAGAGCTCCAGCCTGAGCCCAGCATGTGCCATCTCCGCACACCAACGTTATCATTCCACAATAAATGATTTCTACCTCTCTGCTCACTTCAGCTCATTATATGCGTTCTGCACATTCCAAGTTGTGCCCCCAAGCATCACGAAACCTGTGTGAAATTAGATACAGTTGGCACAGCCCAGCTATCACCCACATTCCTCTCACTGTATGAAGACAACAGAGGCATAGCGCACATCATCACTCGATAAAGGGAAACCTTGTGTGGCTGCATATCAAATAACGAGTTAAAACAGGAGCCAAGTAGAATCCATGTTGATGTACGTTTTGCAGAGATTTTTTTATGCGCGTGTCATTTGGACTGTAAGCTACAAATCCCTTATTCTGAGGAGCTGACTTTATCAGGGATTTTTTATATTTTGTTTACTTATCCCTTACATTTAACAAATATGTATTTGAAAGGTCTGCAAAATAAAATGAAATGTAGAAATTCCCATTGCTACATTTGCCTTGATCTTGGAACTGAGGGCCTCCATCTTGGCTCGAACTTTGTTACATACTCTGCTATTTAAATCCATAGCTTTTATTTTACAGAAACAACAAAGTAATTATTCCCACATAACTGTTTTGATGTCGGTCCCTGACTTTATTTATTTTTTCTGTTATATCTTCCTATTGTAAATCTTAACATAGTTCATGTATTTGTTCTGGTGAGTAAAATCATTCCCTTCAGTGTTTACATTACAGCCTAGTGATACCTCCAGTGGCCACTTCTCAGATGGCTGCTTGAGGTGCTTCCTGGGGCAGTGCTGCACAGTGTCACTGACATTCAGTGTCTCAACCCTCTGCATGGAGACACTGAACTTTCCTCATAGAGATGCATTGATTAAATTCATCTCTATGAGGAGATGCTGATTGGCCAGGGCTGTATTTGACTTGTGCTGGCCCTGCCCCTGATCTGCCTCTTGAACAGTCTCCGCCAATCCTATGGGAAAGCATTGTGTTGGTTTAGAGAATCACTTCTGATGATGTCAGCCAAGCAGTCAGATCAGGTGCAGAGGCAGCAGCTGTAGACTTGAATAAAAATAAGATTTTGCTATATTTAGGGAGGCAAGAGGCGGGAGGGTGTGGGGGGAAGGGGGACAGGGGAGCTAGGGTCAGGAATATGTTTGTGTTCCTTACCCTATAGTGTTCCTTTAAAGATTGTAAAAAGAAAAAAAGTAAAACCAAATAATAAACTCTGCTATTCCCTGTCATTGAACATAACATATGGGGAAGGGGAGACAGAAACAATGTTACTTTTTTTCTCTTTTAATACAATGTGTGCCAGTACTGAACTGGAATGTGATATCTTAAATAAAAGTATCAGACAAACAAAAGAGTAACACAAGTTATAGGTGACTTTCAATATTTTATTCAGCAGTCTTATTTCCAGAAATGTGCCAGTTCCGATTAAAAGTGTAATAATAATGAAACTCCTTTGGTACAGTGGTTGCAGGTTGATGAGATTAGACCTACTGATGTGTTTTAGCTGTATGTCACAGAGGGTTTTATCCAAATCCGTTCACCCATAAAATTCTAGAATAGAAAACTCTACTTGCCTTCTCAATAAAATCTAAATATATGGGGAAAATATTGGTCAAAAATTATTTATGCAATCAAACAGACAGGACACAGGTCATACTTTCTTGGTATGTACTGAAAATAGTGTTAAGTACTCCAAAGATTATATGCCACAAAACATACAGGGTTTTTGACTAAACACTAGCTTTGTTCTGGAAGGACAAAACCCATTGAAAATGACTGAATTCTCACTGCAGTGGCAATGCTCATATTTACTAAAGCCAAATATGGTCGGAATTCGAGCGGCCGAACGAAGTTGCAGGAATTGCCCAGATGCATTCGTTGTCTGGATTAAAATTTGTGCTTTCACATCCAAATCCTCTACAAAGTATACCATTCAGAAGATTCACAAAGCAGTGATTTTAATAAAATTTGGAACCAAAGGCATCTGGTAGGATGCAGATTGGCAAATTATCATTGACTTCCTTTTTTGTGAGTGAATGATGAATACAAGTACCATGGGATCTGCAAGAGTTAATTAAGTGCTTGCTAGACAACTTCCATGTGCCAGGTGGGGCATATTTGCTAAACTGTTAAATCTAGCAACTGGGCAGCCATTGCTACCACATTGTTAGAAAGGACACCCACTCAATGGGGATGAGTTAAATAATGTGGTAGACATATTCCCCCTGTGTCCCCACCTGTGAGCATCTTGTGGGGGGACTTTAAAATAGATAATGGGAATAGACAGATCAATGTCTACCTTTCTACCCCTACCCTTGGCCAGCGGGTGGAGGCTCTTTGGTAAAAGAAATGATGGGGACATTAAGGTGATGATGAGCAGGTGGAAGATAATATAAGGGGGAGACATAGTATGTAACCCACCAGGTCCCACCCATTGGCAGTGGTTAGGGGCACTAATAGTAGTAAGCCAACCATTAGAGTGTTTTGATAGACAAGTCTCACTTCTCTTGAGACTTGCATAAGATAACATAGTCTGGGAGATTTAATAGCTTATAAGGCCTTTCTCTACTATGTGGATTCAGGCGACGCTAAGACCTCGCACACACATAAATGTGTCACCTGCATGATAGCGCATTGGTCGTCCCAGCTGCAAAATGGTAACTAAAATGGAGAGTGGTTGAATAAAATTTAAATTTTAATGTGTGTGTATAGCAATGTATGCGTATGTAGCTGGATGCATGTTTAGCAATGTATATGTGTAGTAGTTTCTGCCTGTAGCATTAAAGGCCACTGACTGAAGTTTTGCCTAAGGCCTCAAAAAGTCTAGAGCTGCCTCTGGCTTCAGCTTCATATGAGAAACCCCACCCAGTTTAAATCCTGAACCAGATCACTTGGGATTTACAATAATTCCAAATCACAAATGGTTCTCCCATCCATTTTAATGTGAATGCAAGTGAAATTAAAATGTCAAGTGAGGTAATTTGCTTAGTAGAACAGGTGCCTCTTATATTCATCTATCCATTTCCCCCAGCAATTCTAAAAGCCCTTGAATTGCCCTGCAATCACTGATCCAATTCACTGTTGATGGTTCTGGTAGACCATGTCAAGAATGAAGCCTTTGACGTAACCTTTTGATTATGGCTTCTCTCCCACTGGGTAAAATGTCCTGTTAGCATAGGAACATGTTATAACCTATTTTCCCTCTTGGGTAGAAGACTATTTGTGCCTTTCTTCCCCACAGAAAATACTGAAACTACTATAGCTACATTCTTTTTTTTAATAAAGCTCCTTTAAGCATTCAATACCAGTGAATGTGTTTTAAAAAAAAAACATTTTATCAAATGCATTATTTCCTGTAATCTCACTGGCTCTGCTATTTTTTTTATTTAATTTTTTTACTTAATGTTTTGTCACCTTTTTGTCCTCAGTTCCAAATTTCTTTCCTCTGCCCATTTTAAGATCACTTTTCTGCATCGTGTCATAATTGGCCGGCACTGTGTACCCTCTTTGGTAGGAAAAGCAATTTCTTTTCTTGGTGACTGTATGGCTCATTGGGGAAATAAAAAAAGATTTTTCAAGACTAATATTATTTTGGATAAACTATTACCTGGAATAAAATGATCTTGTAGTGGCTTTTAACCCTTTAAAGGATAGATACAAAAATGCATCTGATAAATTCTTATTCCCGTATCAAAGGATTAAAAATATTATCAGAAATTAACACCTTCAGCACTAATAATTTATCAATGTCATTTCTAGTGTCAGCTTTTTCACATATGTCCTCTTGAAGTCAAACTAATTTTTTTTTAATCTGCATTAAAGAGACATTATAGGCACCAGAACCAATACAGCTTAATGAACGCTGCCTTTTCTGTCACTCTGACAGTCACTAGAGGGATTTCAGGACCTTATTGTTTAATTCAACAATGTTCCACCGATTCCTCCTTCCTGGCTGAGATCATCAAGATCGATGATCTCAGTCGAAGCTTAGCAAATCTCGGTCGAAGCCTAGCAAGAGAACGAGATGGATGCACAATAGATTGGCTCTCCATACACACTGCTTTTAAACCCATTTTCCAACAAGTCAAAGTGCCACAAAAGTAACCCACGGACCCACAGAGGACATGGCGAGAAAAACCAAAAGGCAAAGACAAGCCCAAAATGGGACCCGATATCAGCAATTTGTTCAATGGGTACATGGGCCAAAAATGCACAGACTCCTCGGATGACCTGAGCCTAGATGACTGCACTGGCAGTATGTTTGCTCCGTTAATGCAGCCGACCCCGAAAAAGTGGCCACCCGACCCAATCACCACAGAGACATTGTGATCCATGTTAGGTGACTTGTAGAGAGTACTGCAGGCCGACGTAGGGCTGCATTGCGGTAATAGAGGCCTCCTCAGACAAGCAGGCACAAATCATAGTGCTAAGAAAAAAACACTAGGAGACCACAGACCAACGATTTGCAGTTCTTGAAGACCTCAGCCACCACAATAATGTGAAAATAAGAGGCGTCCCTGACGATATCCCAGCGGAGAATCTTTTAACAGCAAAACAGGCCAGGAATACAAACATTGAAGCGGTCTTCCAGGTCCCCAAACCACGGAGAGCTCCAGCCTCAGCCTTAAGGGATGTTGTGGTGAAATTCCGCACTGGTGCTGATAAGGCGGGGGTCCTCGCGGCCCTCAAAGGGAAAACACTATATGCCTTCGAAAATGCAGCTCTCACCTTGTATGCTGACATATCCAGTAACACCCTACAATGGAGACAGTCCCTCCAACCATTCACGGCAACGAATACAGATGGCGCTCACCAAGGACTCTGCAAGTCCAGCCGAACAGCTTGACCTACACAGTAACAGACCTGCAGGGAGCGGTGGCGCTACTACCAACACTCGGCCTGCCCGAGAACTCCCTAACTCCTTCAGGGCATCCAGAAAACTCCACCACGGCCCACGGCCCTCCTGGGACCCAGCGAGGATTATGCTGTTCGTGCCACAAGGAAGAAAGCCAGAGGCTTACACGGCATCTACAACCTGAACTTTGGCACTCACAACCCCACTATCTCCTTTACCACCCTAAGAACATACATCAGTTGTGGTTCGAAGTTTCTTAGGTTTATTTTGGTCTCCACCTTTACACTTTTATTTTTCAGAAGAAGTCCAGTAACACCCATGCACACACTGGCTCACAATCCGAGCCTTACAAAGATTGCCCTGTTTTTTTGAGCAAACGAATGCGGTTCGAAGTTGTTTCTCTTTTTTATGTTTTCACTTTCTCTGATTTGCACTTTATGATAACAAGCCATACTGTGATTTAAGCCCCACTAGCTGTAATGCTACGGACGAGACTCCACCCACACCCCAACAAACTGACGTGTAGGGGGACCCCCCCAACTCCTATCCTGGCCCAACTCACCACCTGACGGAACAAGACACTGGGGGTGTAAACCCATTTATCGTCTGACAGAGAGTCTAGTTTAACAGGGCTACCTATGCGGCCTTAACACTAGTATAGGGCTAATACCTCAGCAAGATACATGCACGACTCAAACCGAGACGCACCCACCAGAACAACCCAACTGGCAGTAAATCCACGTTTCCGCCTAAGGGCTGACAGTAACTCACAGGTCCCACTCAAACGCATGACCAACCTATGCGGACCACAAACCAACCTCGACCACCCGACATAGACCATATCGCTTTTAACATAAAACCCCCTACTCCCAAGCACTGCTCACTAAGGACAGACAACATAGCAAAGTGCATACCAAGATACCTGTACTGTATATAATGTCTGATTTGTTCTTGTTTCTGTTAACCCACTCTTGCTTGTGAGCTGGGGTAAACATAAAAAAATTAAAAAAAAAAAGATTGATGATCTCAACCCATCCAATGTTTTACAGAATGTAAGCATTGAGAGACTTGCGCGCATGCACTGTAAATTGTTTATCTGCACCAATGAAATGCTCTCCTGGAGCAACATTTGATTGAGAACAGAGTCTGAATTCCTTCACACAGGGGAAGCACCACTTGCAGTGTTGAAACTAAACCTGTGGTATGTGTAACCCTGGGCACCTGTAATATCACATAACTGGGGGAAAGTGAGAACCTGTAACATTCTCAAAACTAACACTATGTGTTTTGTGTGTATCTGTATGTATGTAGTATATGTATCTTTATGTATGTCAGTGTGTATATCTTTTTATCTGTATGTGTGTCAGTGCTTGTATCTGTGTATCTAGGGTGTGTCAGTGCTTGCTTCTGTGTGCCTGTGTATCTGCATGTGTGTCAGTGCTTGTATCTGTTTGTCTGTGTATCTGCATGAGTATCAGAGTGTGTATCTGTGTATCTAGGGTGTGTCAGTGCTTGCTTCTGTGTGCCTGTGTATCTGCATGTGTGTTGGTGCTTGTATCTGCATGTGTGTCAGTGCTTGTATCTGTGTGACTATGTATCTGCATGGGTATCAGAGTGTGTATCTGTGTATCTAGGGTGTGTCAGTGCTTGCTACTGTGTGCCTGTGTATCTGCATGTGTGTTGGTGCTTGTATCTGCATGTGTGTCAGTGCTTCTATCTGTGTGACTATGTATCTGCATGGGTATCAGAGTGTGTATCTGTGTATCTAGATTGTGTCAGTGTTTGCTTCTGTGTGTATGTGTGTCTGCATGTGTGTCAATGCTTGTATCTGTGTGTCTGTGTATCTGCATGGATATCAGTGTGTGTATCTGTGCATCTAGATGTGTGTCAGTGTATTTGCTTGCGTTTTTTTGTGTATGGTAGTGCTTGTATCTGTGTGTCAGTTAGATGTGGCAGAGAAAAACATATTCATTTAAAATAACAGAAACTATATTAATAACAAACATTTTGCTAATATGAAGGGTACAAGTTATGGAAATGTGCTGCGTCTGCGTACATAAGTGATGAAATGGTTTGAAATTTTTTTTAACTACCCTATTTAACCTGACTTTTCAGTCAGTTCTTAATTAATTGTTTAGTTATTAGACACACAGAGGTTAAAGTTCTAGGCTTATTGGCTACTTTGTTTTTGTTAGATATGTGTGCATAAAGTTGCCTTAGCGTCATGGGTAATGTAGTGCACAAATTCTTGAGGGTCAACGTTAGCCATCACTACTTCATGCCAACAGTACATGTAAAAGCTAAAATATTAATTACAAAACTATATATTTGCTTTCATACGGGTTGTAACCTACAAAGTGCCTCCATGTTGTAAATGTGCAAAAGACTCCCATTACATAAATAAATACACAAACCGTGTGTTCATCTCCTTTCTCCGATTTCATGCATGTCAGGCACTTCTGTGTATCTGACTATTGACGGCTTCATTTATTTCCGAGCAGCCTATTAAACATGACAATGTCCGCAGCATACACCAGTCTGGAGAGAGACAGGATGTGCGAGTTTATCCTCTATTGCCATTTCCATTTATTTCCCTGCAAAATGTTTTCTAGTCGAGTCCTATTTACAGCAGCTCTGCAATTTATATTTCCTGGGTAATTAGAACTCCTGCCTTGTGCCGGACACAATACGCACTGTTATTTTTCAGGTCAATGTAATGAGATCAAAGCATTCATCAAGGTGATACACACCTCGCTTTAACCCCTTTCAGGTTCCCTGATGTAACACCTATTCCGCAAGAATTCTGAAGAATAACATTATTAATCTGATCTTACACATTTCCTATACAGAGATCGCCCATGATGCTTTGCAAGTGTAGTTGTATTTCCACAATAATTAGATGGAGGCTATCTACCTTTGATCCAATCCTGACCTAACCCATATTAACTAGGAATTCCATAAAGATATAGGTAAAGGATAAAAGCCACAGACACATCACCATGTAAAGGAATTTAAAGGTTTTATTGCAACATCGCACTCTAGAACATTCCGTGTTAGTGATGGATCAATGAATTCCCCTGATAATTTCACATGTAGTTTTCCTTTGTGCATCTATGTTCTTTGTTTTTCGCACGCATCTGAACTTCAAATTCAAACATTCTGATGAAGAATGCAGATTATGAACCACATATAACAAGAAAAATGTAGACACAGAAAAACAATAGGTAATGTCTATCTGCCTCAAACATGCTGCACTCTGCAGCATTATATAAAGTTATTGGCTACTTTGTGGCATTTGCCCTGCAGCCGATATACTTGTCTCTATATCCGTTAAATAGACCTTGAACACAGCATTTCTGAGAAACAATGTTTTCACTATTTTTCTAGAATTAACAGCTTAATATGAAACCATGAACAGACAGGCATAATGGGGAGATCTTCTACAAAGTGGTGCAAAAAAATTAAATTAAAAGAGGCATTACCAGTGGATGTAACTGCTGGTTCCACGGTAACTGCCCTGCCTTTAGTACTTTACACCAATTTTTCAATTACTATTTTTCTAGTTCTTTAATAGTTTTCATCCTATTTTTGCATGCACCAACAGTAATGAAACACTGTTTAAAAATCAGCTTTTAAAGGGACCCTATAGGTAGTCAGATAACTTCATCTCATTGTCCTCCTAAAACAGTGTTTTTATAAAAAAGGACACTGTAGGTACCCAGACCACTTAATCTCCTCCTAACACAGTGTTTATTTAAGGCACTGGTTTTGTTCCAAACGTTCCAACCAAAGACAAGGCCAGAACGGGTGCTCCCACAGCCTTCACTTCCAGGAAACAGTAACTCTTCATATACCCATCAGCCCATGTCTGAGAGTGATCTTCTGTGTGTATGTGCCTGCTAGTGAGTTTGTCATTAGTGGGTGAGTTTGTCAGTAGTGAGTGAGCTTGTTTGTGTATGTGTCAGTGAGCTTGTCTGTAGTCAGGTTGTGTGCATGTATCAATTAACTTATCTGTAGTAAGTGTGTGTGTGTGTGTGTGTGTTTGTGAGCATGTCTATTGTGAGCATGTGCGTGACAGTGAGCTTGTCTGTAGTTAGCTTCTGTGTGCATACCAATGAGTGTCTGTAGTGAGCTTGTGTGTGTCAGAGAGTTTGTATGTGCTCAGTCTGTGTATGTGTGCCAGTAAGTTTTCCTTTATGTGTCAATAATCTTGTGTGTCAGTGATATTGACACATAAAGCATATTTGTGTTTTTTTCTCTGAAAGGAATAATATTTTGAATTAAAATGAAACATGCCTATAATAAATTATATTGATGCACACACACGCTACACGGCTCAATGACTTATTTTATAGGGCTGGCATACATTTTTTCCAGGCTTGCTTTGTATTTCCAGCCTGGCCCTGTGCCTGAGCTACGTATGGAGGCTACTGTGGGATAAGTTAGACCCCCATAGGCTAATATGAAAGATTGCTAATGAATCTCGTCTCTTGGAAGGGTTTTCAGCTTCTTCTGGTTTCTGTAAATTAGCAGCAAGTTCACGTACTTTAATGGTATCGATTTACATTTTTTACAGATTTCTAATGAAATAACTATATATTGCTTAAATTAAGTTTTTTTCTATGTGTGATACTTTCATCTGTCTAGCTAAATGTGTGACAGAAAATAGCAATCTTTGGTTAATTAATTTGTCCTTAATTACTAAGATAGAAATAAAAAAAAACTGATTGCTAAATACATTCTAAATTTGAGCAATTAACATGCAGAACAAGTGTGTCAAAATGTGTCCCTAGCTGGACTACAAATCTCATACTTCTCAGCCAGTCCACAGCTCAGAACTACAAGTGACGGGGATTCTTTTATCTGGATGGATGGAATACTGTATGTTCTGGTGTGATTTTAAAGATAGATGGGAGTTGAACGAGGGGCAAGGTTTTAATGGATTTTATGAAGAATGCAGGAAAAAGATAAAGGGGGGGTGGCTACACTTATCTTATGCTTCATCTAAAAACAGCTCAGTTATTGTATGTAACTTTTCTAGAAATTATATTTCTACAGAAAACAATTTTATGATTTATAAAATATCTTCTGCTGCCATCTGCTGGCATACTTAGGAGTTTCATCTTTCTATTTAAGCAAATTCTATAGTGTTAGGAGTAAGTTGTATTCCTAACACAATAGTGCCCTCTGGTAACCCCCTCCCTTACAATCCACCGCCACTCTAGCTCATAAAGGGTTAAAAAAATCTTATTTACTCACCCAATTTTAGGGCCTGTAACCTACGGTGCTTGGTGGGCGCTCCACCTCATCTGACATCATCCGAGGGGGAGATCTAATGTGCATGCACAGTAAGCACTGCAAGCGCATTAGGCCCTCGCAATTTTACTGACATTGGATGTCTCCCAAACCGGCATTGTTTTACATTGCTGGACTAAGGGGAACTGGGACATTGCACCCAGACCACTGCCCATAGTGCCTATAGTGTCCATTTAAGCCCTAACAATCATTTTGTGGCAATTGCTTGATAATTTGGGTATCTTGCAAACTGTTTTTCTGCTTTAAATGGTATATATATTTGTAGTCAGAAAATACAATATTGATATAATTAGAAGTAAGCATCAGTTGGTTGTGGTGTGCCAGAACCAACTTATGGGGTAGGCCTGTAATAAAAGAGGGCCCACCCATTTAATTGTAATAAAGGGGAGAGGTGGGAGGGATGAACACATCGGTGACGGTTCTGTCATGGAGGGGGCCTGAGTTTTTATAGCCGGTAACCCCTCCCACAATTACAGGCTACGCCTTCATATTTGTAGTCAGGGACATAAGCCGTTATAATAAGACAATACAATAATGATATAATTAGAAGTGAGAACCAGTCGGTTGTGGTGTGCCGGAACTGATGTATGGGGTAGGCCTGTAATAAAAGAGGGCAAAAAGTTGATGTATACAAATAACCTTTATTACATACACGTTACAAAGCTAAACTTTTAAATGCTAATCTCAATTCCTGTTCTGGCTGTGGTATATAACTGGTATATGCTGCTGATTTCCAGAAAAAGTGGCCAGAAAACTCTAATTTGTAATGAAAAGTCTAATGAAAAGTGTTCTGATGTATAACATGAATTTAGTAGTGGTCAGAGGTTTGCCATGTAAAAGGAGTAATGGCGTATTTGGGTCTAGTGTTGAACAATATGTGTCCAGTAATTTAACTGAACACCAGTGATTACCGGTGTGGTAATAGCATATTTTGGTAGGAAGGCCTAACTGGTTTGTTTTAGTGTGATCAATGGTAAGTACCTAATAGTCAGTGTCGTTTTGTAGACTCATAATTTTCAGGTGCGGATGGTTAGACGTAATGTTATTGGTAGTGAATTAATTTGGACATAAAAAGCCATAAAAGGCTAGATAGGCTGGCGTTTTAATTAAAGTATTAGTCCTGGTTTCAAATGTATTGGTGTCTAGAATGCCTGAAAGTGCACGAAATTTAGGCCTGTCAATATGAAGTATGGTATTGGGTTTGTCCAAGCTTTGTATGCCTTTTAGAATATTCTGAACGTCATAGGTGGACATGAAAGAATTCGTACTAGGGTAGGCACCTAGGATGTGATGTATTCCTGTGTGGCAGAGTTTTATAGTGTTTAGTGATAATTTTAAAGGATCACTATAGTGTCAGAAAAACAAACCCGTTTTCCTGACACTATACAACTCTTAGGGTCCCCCCACCCTCAGGGCCCCCCTCCCTTGGCGCTTCAGTTACTTACCCTAATCCAGCGCCGGGCTCCCTTGGTGCTGGTGACCTCTCCTCCCCCGCCGACGTCAGTTCCCGAGTGGAGTGGAATGCGCATGCGCAGCAAGAGTAAATTTCACATCCAGCGTCGCAGAAGCGCCTCTAGCGGCTGTCAGCGAGACAGTCACTAGGGGTTGGATTAACCCTGCAATGTAAACAAAGCAGTTTCTCTGAAACTGCTATGTTTACATGTGAAGGGTTAAAACCTGGGGGACCTGGCACCCAGACCACTTCATTAAGCTGAAGTGGTCTGGGTGACTATAGTGTCCCTTTAAGCTAAGGTGGCAATAGGAGATAAACGCCACTATGGAGTCTAGTGAGTGTGTGTGTCACTTATATGGTAATCTAAAGTGAATTTGGTATAGAGAGTGAATGCTCTATTGTAAGCCCGTGATGTATTGGTATAGAGGGCCGAGTTGGCCAGATATCTGCTGTGTGCTAAGAGGCAGTCTAGTCCAGGATAAGGTCTTGGTATGAGAAAGTGCTGACCAGACTGATGTTGGCTGTCGGATGGGCTCTGAAGAAAACCTGCAAATTAGAACGAGACAACGCATCAGCATCCTGGGATGTGAATACAAGTAATGTGAAATTGTAGCATAGCCGCTAACCATGTCTGTCGTCGAATTAGTCTCATGATGTTACGTGATGAGGATCTGCCCTTTTTAATAATATCGCATGCTGCTTTATTATCAGAGAAGCATTTTACTGCTTTCCCTTGCCATAGGTACCCCCATGCTTTGGAGGCTGCCACTATAGGGTAAATTTCAAATAGAACAGATGTAGTGCAGAATGAAGGTAAACCATGGGTCTCAATCGGCCAAGAATCTCTCAATCAGGAGTCACCAAATATAGCTGCGGACGCTGTATGAGCTGCAGCACCTGTCCATATGACTGGGGAAGATTCAGAAAAGGGTGGAAGAAACATTTTTCCATTCCATTGTGAAAGAAACCTAAGCCACATACGTAGGTCCGCCTTGGCGTGTGTATCTATGGTTACAGTACTTTTGTCAGTATTGAGAAGGGTAAGAAGGAACAGTAACCTGGAAATAAAAGCACGGCCCTGTGGAATAATTCTCATGGTGAAGTTCAGCGTGCCCAGTAAGGATTGTAGGTCCGTTCTGGTACATGTGACCTTAGCCAGAAAAACTTCCACCGACTCTCCGATGTGCCGTACCTTCTCCATAGGTAGACTGGCTTGTTACAATATTGTGTCTAGGTGAATTCCCAGGAAAGTGAGAGAGAGAGACAATCAAAGGTCAAATTAACTGCATATTTTAGGATAAACGCTTGTGGATTGGCAAAAATAGTGGGTAAAACAGAGTAAAATATAACTAAATCAAAATCATGAGTAAGATATCATCAACAGTGGTTCACATGTTCCCTCAAGTCAAGATTTAAACCTTTTATTCACTTGACCTCAAGTCTTGGATTAGAGAGTGAGAGCCCTCTGTGCCCCCTTATCCCCCATCACACCCATTGCCTGGTGTCAGAACAGATGGTACAGGATGTGTGCACTTTTATAAGGAGATGTTGTGGATTGGATTTAGCCAGGTCCACTGTCTTTTTCAAAGTCAGGGCCAAGTCAAGGTGGGAGCATAGTGTTCAATTATACAACTGCACTAGGTACTGGGGACACAATGTGTGCCAGTCAATGTGGAGGTATCCAGTACCACCTTATAGTGACTGATTTCAGGTGAGTGTGAGTGAGTCACGTACTGTGGTGGTCAGGCAAAGCAACTAGATATTTTGGCAAATGATGACAGTGAAGGACACATTATCTCACCAAGGTCATCTGTTTTTGGCTTTGAAATGAGATTTGTGTACATAGTTTCTCAGTCTCCAAAGCCAATGTCAGTTCACCTATCTATCTACCTATCTATCTATCTATATCTCTATCCATCTTTCTATTCCCGTTAAACTGGATGCAGATTTGTCTATTACATGTTTTGTATGCCGAGTTTCCAACAAAGGTTTGGTAAAGTAGGAGTTAATCTGTAACCGGGAGACAATCTCACGTATTCCAGCATTAAAATGGTATGTCTTCTTCTGATTAGATTCTTATAGATCCCATTGACCTTATCTAATTTGTCGGCTTATGAAAAGCTTTGCATCGCTGGTGCTGTTCCGTATCAATAATGATCTCAAGAGAAACCATGGCGCCCCAGGTTATTGTTAGAGTCGAACGGTGAAACGTTTTTAAAAACTGATGAATACAAAGAATGTGACTCATTAAATCACAGATTACAAAATAAAGGCAGAACTACAACGTGGTGGCTGTGTATAGTCTGGTCCTGAGAAATATTTAATCTAAGTAAACCTCAAATGTCAAGATTCGAGCTGCTAATATTCCATAACTGCCTACTAACCAAGAGATTCTTAGATAAGACATGGTGGGGGATGTTCTAGACTCAATTGACGAAAATATGAAATCATCCAATCTCCTTCCAATTTTTGGCTGGTTAAAATGGGTCAAAGCACCCAACTTGAAAATAACTGGCCATTTTTTTTAAGGCTGTTTTATCTCAGTCATGAAGGATCAATGTTTTTATGATTTACAAACTTGCAAGAAATAATTTTCTATACATTCTATATTGCTGAGGTTCTAAGCATCAACTAACACGGGACACTAACATGAACACTGAGAAACATAAAGAAATAAGAAAATCGAAAACACATGAATAAAATTACCTTCCCTTTTATGTTCTCATTTCTATTTAATCTTCGTTTGAATCTGAAACCTTTGTGAGAACAGGTCCAATGTAAAAAAGAAATAAAAAATGCATTTATTTATTTGACCCTGTTTCCATCAGGTCTAAAAGTACTTTAATAGATTTTAATTGAACTGCTGATAGTCACTGCTCAAGGCAGTGGTGTATCCTGGTTTTGTGCTGCCCTAGGCAGGACAAAACTCAGACGCCCCCCTTCCCCTTCTGCCCCCCGGGCCACCCCCACCCAACCCTTCACCCGCCCCGCCTTCTAAATACACACACACACATTCACTGACAGATACGCATACACTAGCTAACAGAAACACACACTCGCTAACAGAAACACACACACACACACTAACAGACACACACTCACTAACAAACACACACACACTAACAGACACACGCACTAACAGACACACACACTATCAGACACTCACACACTAACAGACACACACACACACTAACAGACACACACTCACTCACTAACAGACACACACACACACACAGAGACACACACTAACAGACACACACACACACTCACTCACATTAACACTTTTATTTTTAATTTAACCCCCCCAGCCTCCTTACCTTTGGGAATGCTGGTGGGGGGGTTCTCTTTCTCTCTGGGGGTCCAATGGCTGCCAGACGGGTGGCGCTGGCGGGCGGCTGGCGAGGGAGCACTTCCCCTGAGCTCTCTCTGCTCAGCTCCCTCACGCGCCGCCCACAGAGTGAGGCTGGGAGCCGGAATATGACATCATATTCCGGCTCCCAGCCTCACTCTGCGGGCGACGCGCAAGGGAGCTGGGCAGACAGCTCAGGGGAAGTGCTCCCTCGCCAGCCGCCCGCCAGCACCGCCCGTCTGGCATGTCAGTTAGCCGCAAGGCTAACAAGACATTTGCCTGGGCATTTGGGGGCGGCTTTTTTTGCCGCCCCCTGGAAAATGCCGCCCAAGGCAAATGCCTTGTTTGCCTCGCGGCTAAAACGTCCCTGGCTCAAGGAAATATTGAGGTACTGAATACGAGTACATAAAAGGAACATTTTAGCTAAACAGCCACTAGAGGTGTACTTATCTCTGCAATGCAAACATCTACTAAACAGCAAGGCTTTTTTTGCATTGTGGGTTAAAACGGAGCGTGGAACTGAGAACACTTCATTGAATTGGAGTGATCTGGCTGCCTTTAGTGTTCCTTTAAGTGAGATATTATTATATAGTGCAACACTTTCTATATAATTAAAGGAGCACTATAGGGTCAGGAACACAAACATATATTCCTGACCCTATAGTGTTAAAAACACCATCTAGCCCCCCTGGGCCCCTCATGCCTCCATAAATATAGCAAAATCTTACTGTATTCAAGTCTGGAGCAGCTAGCTCTTGCTCTGTTTCCTTTAGACCTGCCCACTGCCTGCTGACATCATCAGAAGTGGTAGCCTGATCCAATCACAATGCTTCCCCATAGGATTGGCCGAGACTGACAAAGAAGCAGATCAGGGGCAGAGCCAGCATGATTCAAACACAGCCCTGGCCAATCAGCATCTTCTCATAGAGATGAATTGAATCAATGTATCTCTATGAGGAAAGTTCAGTGTCTGCATGCAGAGGGAGGAGACACTAAATGTTTGGATGCATTTTAGGCAGCCATGACCCAGGAAGGATCTCTAACAGCCATCTGAGGAGTGGCCAGTGAAGTTATCACTAGGCTGTAATGTAAACACTGCATTTTCTCTGAAAAGACAGTGTTTACAGCAAAAAGCCTGAAGGGAATGATTCTACTCACCAGAACAAATTCAATAAGCTGTAGTTGTTCTGGTGACTATAGTGTCCCTTTAATTACTGTAATTTTTAAGCATCCAAATCTAGTCAATAACATGGAGGAGCAGTATTTAAAAAGTCAAAATGTAACTGTATACTTATTTCTTGAGCCACGGTACATTTCATGTTTTGTTTTAAGGTTTTAATTTTTATATATTTTTTTTTTATTATGAATTTTATTATATATTATAATGAATACAATAATACCAAGCTGTGTGTGGAGAATGAAGATTCCTTTGATAATGTGATTTTCAGACATGTTGCTGAAGTTGCACAGATTGGTCACCACGGAAGGGCTGCATGGGTCTGGTGAAAATTGTCCACCCGGTTACTAGCATGGGTGGGATGGCAAGGAGCTTCAAAACACTCTTCAGAATATTATGAGTGGGAGGTGTGTGTCTGGATGTCTGTTGAGTGAGTGTATGGGTCAGAAAGAGTGAGTGTGTTTAAAGCAGCTCTGTCATATTTGCATATTTTGCGTTGAAATGTATCAAAAACAGATCAGAATATATGCGAGCTACCGGTTAAAAGTTTATGTAAGATACCTAAACTTATTTAATGTAAGATATAAACTAAATGTAACAAGCTGAAACTCGTAGGACCACAACACTATACCCCGATGACTGTTAAACCATTATATGAGCCTCGTTCTCTGCTTCTCGCATAGGATGTACAGTTTTGAGTTGTATGATGAATGAAACCTCCCGCCACTCCGCGTCTCGGGCTCTCTCGGTGGAATTCCAGTTGGGGTCACGGCTCATAGCCCATAAAAGAGCCCTGGCTGGTGGACTCTCGGTGTGCAGGGGGGAAGGTAGGGACACGGAGATCTCCACCCCCTATTACGGGAGCAACCAAGCAGCAGGCTTAACAATCAGGCTTATGGCTTACACCGCTCCGACATATATCAGCAATGTAATTCGGTTATTTTATGTTAACTCTTAATGTTTTTTGTTTGTTTTTATAGATTTTTTCTCTTTATTATAAAAATGTAAAACCCTTGACAAATTGTGATCATGCCAATTAACACTGTCTGACATAATACATGCTTTAACATTACAAGCTTTAACTTTCTGTAACATAACGGCAATGCTGTATAAAACATGACTTGGCTTTTGCACAAGCCTTTGTATTCTTAATATACCGCAATTTCTGTCATTGCAAAAATAAAGAAATTACATTTTTTTTTTTAAAGAATATATGTGAGCTTGGTCTCTAGCGCGTATGTATTTAAACAGGTAGGAAGCCACAGCACCCAAACCAGAGCCCAATAAAATGTTTGTATCAAATACAGAGTTTAATCCCTCTCCTGCTGGACTTATAACTCCACCTCTAAAAGCGTTATGGATGCTTCCTCGGCCACCTTGGAACTAGAGTCTCAGGCTGGCTAACGTCAATTCTGTGCAAATTCCTATACACAGAATTTCATTCATTGGTGGAAAGTGATCAGCTGACATTCTCAGCCAACGAATGGGGACAGCCTCAGCATCCAGCTTCTCCGGCTCTGCAGAATGCGGATTCGTGTCTTCAGAGGAGGAAGGATCCATGGCGCCCGGTGAAGACCCAAGTAAGAGGGCAAAAAATTACAAAACAGTTTGCCCCAATACCTTCCAATGGGGTCAGAGTACTCTGGGTATCAAAACAACTACAGCGGGCTACAGTGATTATGGTGTTCGGAGTAATCCTTTAAGTACCAATGTGATACAAGTAAGTAGACAATGGATATTGTGTTGATTTTGGGACGGCATTGCTTTATGTATTTAGATCTGCTAGATTTCTTGCAATAAATGTTTTTGTTTTACCCTCCGATTATTGAAGTTATCTGTGTGAGCTGAGTGCGACTGATTTCTGTTAAAATACAATTCTATAGGAAGACAGTTCTGGTAATCAGAAAGTAGAGTTATCCCTGAGTACTGCGGGAATGCTGAGTTCCTCCCCTTTCTTTGTGTTTTCATTCATTCTCAATTATTACATTTATTCATTTTGTTAATTTCGGTAATAATGCGAACGCTTTGCATACGTTATTTACTCTCTTTCTTATTTCCTTTAATCAGCAGGACATTTAATTTAAACCAGTTCCTTTAATCCCTTAATGCAATCTATTTTATTTTTTTAATGTAATTAGAAAGACGCTATAGGGTGCTTCTGTCAGTTTCCCTTTCTCCCGAGAAATAAATCTTAATACTGTTTACTATCATAAAACAGATAGCTCATCATAAATACATAGCATTACTCGTGGGTACAAGGGCAGAGAGTACCATATATTAAGGGCTAAGTGTCGCCGTATTCATTTAAATTAAACGGGCTGCAATAGATTCTGGAAAATTACCATAAATAAGCTTGGCCCATGATAGAAATAGATGTGAAGGACTGCACCCTGTAAACAAGATAAGTAACAGTGTCTTATACATATTTAAGAGGATGTATAAAGAAAGATTGTAATCAAGTGGAAGGAGTGAAAAATGATGGATGTGTGAACTAATAGTCTGTAAAGGAACAAACATATTTCTCATTTATTGAAAGATTCAATGTTAAGAGAAATGGGAAGCTTATCAAGAGTGTTGGGAGTTAGTTAACCATTCACTCACAGCTGTCGTACATTAAAGGGACACGATAGTCACCAGAACAACTACAGCTTATTGTATTTGTTCTGTTGAGTATAATCAGTCCCTTCAGGCTTTTTGCAGTAAACACTGTCTTTTCAGAGAAAATGCAGTGTTTACATTACAGCCTTGTGATAACTCTACTGGCCACTCTTTAGATGGTTGCTAGATGTGCTTCCTGGGGAAGTGCTGCACAGTGTGACTGACATTGAGTGTCTCCACCCTCTCCATGGAGACACTGAACTTTCCTCAATTAATCTCTATGAGGAGATGCTGATTGGCTAGGGCTGTGTTTGGCTTGTGCTGGTTCTGCCCCTGATCTGCCTCCTTGACACTCTCAGTCAATCCAATGCTTTTCTATGGGAAAGCTTTGTTATTGGTTCAGGACACCACTTTTGATGATGTCAGCCAAGCGGGCAGATCAGGGGCAGAGCCAGCAGCAGCAGACTTGAATAAAAGTATGATTTTACTATTCTTAGGAGGGTAAAGGTGGGTCAGGGGGGTCTGATAATGTTTTTAATACAATAGGATCAGGAATAGATGTTTGTATTCCTGACCCTATAGTGTTCATTTAAGCTATGCTCCTTTCAAGAGGATACTATATTTCTGAGTTTGTAAGTGGTGTAACCATGTCTGTAATGCAAAAACTATTAGTGTCCTATGGAAACTCTAAAATTTTACTCTAAACATCACCATTACAGGTCACTGTAGTGGTTCAGGGGGTAGGAGTACCCTCTCCCTTTTTGCAATGGTTTGTCCTATTAATTGGGTTCCAATGGGATCCGAGCTTCCTCTATGTCCTTTAATGGCATCCAACTTCTGATATCCAAGTCAATCCTGCCGGCCATTCATTGACTGAGAGTACGTCATACTTTAAAAGATTAACAGCATAACATAAAGCATAACAATCAAAACACCTACCATGAAACAATTCGACCACCTACAGTCCCTCTGGGAAGTCCTATATTCCTGTCCTGCGGATTTTTTCGATATTTTTAATCCGCAGTTCGGAATTTCTCTACATTTTTATTTCTATAACTTGCAAGACCGGCTCTATTTTTCCACTCCTACATTGTTCTAGTGTTTGCTTTAATAATTTTTTTTTATTTAGAACAAGGGTTTTTCGTTCCAGTTCTTAGTGATCATGTTTTTAACAGCTACTAGTATATTTAATATAAGTCTATATTTATCTTTAGTCATATTTGGGAATCCTAAATGGAGTAATAATTCCTCTGGTCTACTAAAAAGCTCGATATCTATCAAATTTTTATTAACTTTGCAAGATTCCTTCAAAGAGGAGCAATTAGTGGGCAATGTGTAAATGATGACCATTAGGGTTTCCACATCTAAAGCCATTATTTAGTTCACCAGGATATATCGTAGCTATCTTGTCTGGAACCAAGAAGTGACATGATGCCCCGTTGCATCTTTAAGAACAAACCCCGAATGTGAGCAGCGTTCTCCTCACTGGAATTCAGGCCACACAAACTGTTATTACATTTTTACTTTCGGCGTGCGGCTCATTCGGTGGTTCACCTGGCTCGGGAACCAGGTAAGTACCTCTGCAATGCCCTCACAATCTGCATGACTCTATGTGAAATGGCTGCCCAAATGCATAGAACAAAAAGACAAACAAGTTAGCTTCACAGTATCCCAAATCTCTACGCACATTTAAATAACTGGGGGGTTTTACTATTACCCCAATGGCCATTAACATGCAAGCTCACCTGACCCGTCAATGCAACCTTTTAGTGCAGGTGAGTCCTCCACTAACAATTCACTTTGCTGCTTTCTACAAAAAGGCAAAATCTCTAATAAGACAGAACAGGGTAGATCTGGTGGAGTCACCTTGAAACCAATGGAAATTATTTGTGCTCATTGCATGTAGCGGAGGGGCAGGGGTTAATCCAATAGCTCTCCGCTGGGAACAAAGATTCAGCATACAAAGTCACAGGAACACAGCATAATCCACCTCCCCAAGGACTAGACGACACATAGTCTGGGAGTCAACTGAAAGCTTTATTCACAGGTCTGCTTTTATGCATTTCTCCCATGCAAGGGAGGTAACTTTCATAATTATTACAGTAGCCAATTGTAACACGGTCACCTCCCATCCCTCTCCTCCCCTTAGATTAGCACTTAAACAGATTAGTGGGGACAGAGTTTTCCCCACTTTCTGGATGTCCCCTAAATACAGGGGGTATAGGGAAAAATAAGGGGTCCCCTGGTAGGTCTGATCTGGATGAGCAACATACTCGAAATTCAGCCAGATCGGACCAGGGGTTCGAGAGTTACAGACAGTTAAAGATTTGACCGACCGCAGGGATTCAGTAGCCGAAAACATTTCCATGAATTCTGGCTCTGCGGACGGTCTATTTTAGTGAATCAAAAATACCGAACAGCTTAGCCATCCATGCGACTGCTAGCATTCGTATGAATCCCCTCATTTAGGGTAATCTATCTAGTGAACGCCAGGGCATTCGTGTGTTTGATATGTGCTGTCGGAGCATGCTGGAGGTCTTAGCGGTGCTTGGTTAGTCGAATGCCCGGCTTGAATTCCAGGCGTTCGACAACCAAGTACCGCTGTTCGTGCGTAAGATGGCCGCCGCCACGTGTTCGGTAGGCGAAATGGCGGCCACATACAGGTACTTAATTCCCTTCGCAACATTGTATCGCTCAGATAATTGGAAAAACACGACCACCCCGGGGTGGTCTCCCGTTCGGTAGTTTCGGGCATTCGCATAAAAACAGTAAAATAACATTAAAGTCAATTCGTGTAGTTATTCACTTGGTGAAATTCACCCATTCGCATAGAATGATTAGTTCAAGTGGCAGGGTTTGCCACATTGCACAAACAAGACAATTCTGCAAGCTAGCAGACTTTGTGCTGCTGAGTCAATCAGATGGCAAATAATTATTTTCATTCATGAAAAAAACTACTTGCAAGTGCTTACATTAGACTATTAGTGCCTAATTCCATGTCCCGTGAATGCGAGATAAGTAGTTGTTTGTGGGGCAAGCCTCGTTCTCCCATTGAGAGCAACTGGAGGACTAGGATTGGATGAGAAATCTCAAGTCCCATGAAAACATTGCAGATTTGCAACAAAAGAAATTCAGAAGTGAAGGCTTTTTTTTTTAACTTTAATTAATTAGAGTTCCATGATCCAGAATCCAAAATAATTTTTATTAATAAAATGATAATTTTCCCTCATCCACTGTAGTCAATCAAGCAGAAATTTTCATACTAAAGTTTTTTTCAGACATGTTTGCGATAAACTGCACCTACCCCTGTGATCCCTCTTAAGAAAAATCCGCCATGCTAAAAAAAAAAAATAAAAATAAAAAATCTGAAAATAATAATTTGAGAAGCTGTAATCAGTGGCAAACATGACTAAGTGAAAAGCAACTTTATAATTTGCACCTAATATTGTAGGAGGATAAAGGGCAACAAAAAGTGTGTTTCTGAAGAACAATTTCATAGTCCAATATTTAACGGATGACAGGAACATGTTTCGTTTATTTTTAAAAACACATGGTATCCGACCGCTGCCTTTGTTTATATAATTGAAGCAATCTCAGCCTTTTTGCCTTTAATATCACCTCCAGATCCGAGGTCTTGCAGACCATAAGTTATTGATGAAGCCCGCTCTGATTTAATAGAGAGAAAAAACAAAAAAGAAAAAATGTCTTAACCCGTAGGACGGAACAAAAGAGGAAAATAAAATGAGAAAGTGAAAAGCATTTAAATCGATTGTGCAACAAAAGAAAAGAGAGGAATAGAAAAGAGGGAGTGAGGTTCTGTTTGATACAGCTGTCAAAACATCTCAAACGTTAGATATTATCAAGGGGAGCTGAGCAAGCGGGCTGTCTGTGTGCAGGTGAGATGTGGTTTGAAAGCGGTGCTTGTGACACAGTAAAAGGAAAAATAATGTATATTTTGGCAGATAGAAGTTCGCTTGCATAACAGGGATTCAAGAAGACAATGAGAATGAATACAGTATAGCTGGAATATTGAGACGTGTGCTGCATGGTTTGGAGGTGGAAGTGTGAGCATTCTGAAGAAATTCTATTTTACTGAAAGAGTAGTTTGTACCTAGAATGGACTTCCAGTGAAAATATAAAAGTAATAAAATGAATAATAAATAACAAAACAACTAACGAAATGTACACAACACTGATGTCCAATCTGTCCAGCAATGACGGAATGGTAAACCATCTTTGTTAAGATCTTTATATAAAATATATAAAGAGTTAATAAATCTCAACAGGGCTGCCACCAGAAATTTTGGGGCCCCTAACTCAGCTCAGGGTCTAGGCCCCCTGGGGCCCGCCTTCAATCCCGCCCACAGGGTCCGCCTCCATATCCCGCCCACAGGAATCCACACACAGACACAAAAACACACACTGATACAAAAGGACACAGATACACACACACACAAAGATACATACTAACAGACACACATACTGAAACAGACATACACGCATATAGGCATACGTACTGACACACACATACTGAGACATACACACATATACAGACACACAGGCATACATAGTGACAGATAGACACATACTAACATACATACAGACACACATGCATGAGGACATACACCGACATACACCGACATACATACACACAGACATACTGACATACACACAGACATACTGACATACATAGAGACATACTGACATACATTCTGACATACATTTAGACATTCTGACATACATTCAGACATACTGACATACTGACATACATACATACATACATTCTGACATACATACAGACATACTGACATACATTCTGACATACATACAGACATACTAACATACATACAGACATACTAACATACATACATACATTCTGACATACATTCTGACATAGATACATACTACATACATTCATATATACTGACATCCATACACACATACACACAGACATACATTCATAATGACATGCAGACATACATTCATACTGACATACATGCATAGATACAGACATACATTCATAATAACATACATACATAATGACAGGGGTCCTCAAACGTTTTAAACAAGGGGGCAGGGTCCTCGAACTTTTTAAACAAGGGGCCAGTTCACAGTCCCTCAGACACTGTTGTGGGCCGGACAATAAACAATATGAACAAATTCCTATGCACACTGCACACACACATAAGGACATAAATACACACACACACACACACATACTGACATACATACATATATAAACAGACAGACACAGACATATACATACATATTGAAATACATACAGATACATACACATAGACAGACATGCAAACATACACATACTGACTTAAACACACAGACATACATACTGACATACATACATACATTCTGACATACATACAAACATTCTGACATACATTCAGACATTCTGACATACATACAGACATACTGACATACATACATACATACATACATTCTGACATACATTCATACATTCTGACATACATACAGACATACTAACATACATACAGACATACTGACATACATACATACATTCTGACATATATACAGACATAGATACATACTAACATACACAAATGCAGCTAATTTGTCTTACCTTTTTTTGCACGGCGCTGAGGGAGATGGGAGGAAGTGACGGCCACTTCCTCCCAGCAGTACTTTGCTGCTGAGATTTTTTAAAGGGGCCCGGTCACGCTATTGCACGGCCACAGCGCTGACTGGGCCCCTGAAGGTATAGGGCCCATCGGGTGTCCCTAAGTGCGTGGGCCACCCGATAGGCCCCATCAGCGTGCGGGCCCCGGTGCAACTGCACCGGCGGCAGTTCCGCCGCTACACGTGTGGCTGTCATTAAATCTCACTATGTGGAGGATGGAATGGAACTTTGTAAATATTGTTATTTATTAATGGTATTTATTAAACGCCAACAAATTCCGCAATGCTGTACAATTAAGAGAAAACATACACAGACAAATACGAAAGGTAGAGAGGGCCCTGCCCGTAAGCTGAAATCTAGCCATTGAAGCTCTTTTATACAAAGTGCTTAGCTAGATAGCCCATGAGCTTACAATCTAAAGGATGTAACAGAGATTTGAGACAAGAGGTAGCAGGGGGCATTTGGAGGTGATGGCTAAAAGAAGTTAACAGAGAGATGCAGCTATTGGTAAAATATAAAGGGGATAAGATGGGCAAAGGAGGTAATTAGGTGAGACTCTCAAAATAGCTGGAATAGCATGATTTACACTTAGTAGGAACCTGGGTGGAAGGAGTGGAGGGTGGGTAGTGGTGAGAAAAAAATGGAGAGATTCAGTATTGTTGTTTCTGGGAGAGTGAGGTGAGGCCTAAAGAACAGAGATGGAGATGGTACAGTTATATGAAGTTATTTACAGCCAGGAGCAGGTAAAAAACGACATCTACAGTATGACGATGCCAAATATCTCCAGGGCTTCCCAGAAAAGAAACATTTAATGGCGGAGTTTAACTATTGCCCGCATGCGCCCTACGTTCCCAATCCTTCTTTATAAAAAGCACTCGATTGAACAAAAGTCTTCAGAATTGATGTCTTCCTCTGCGTCAACGTGGCCGTACCCAGGATTCTGTCCAAGAGCTGGATTGCAGGTAAGTTGTGTTTTTTTGTTGTTGTATAAGAAGAGTGGAATCAGCAATCTAAACACAGTAAGGAACACTGTAACCTTAAAAATAGATATGTTTCTTTTTACCATTGGATTGTTTCTTTAAGTTAATTTTATAATAAAGCATGACATAAACGTGACATAAAGTAACATGCAGATTTATCACCAAGATTCAGGGATATGTACACATAAAAGAGTGGCTGAAACCTTTGATTTTTCAAACAGCAGCACGATTCAAGGGGGAAAAAATATATAAATAAGTAACTAACTAAATAAATAAGAGCTGGAATTAGATTCTCATGTGAAGATATTGATGTTTTCTGAGAGAAGGGACTTGGGAGTTGTAACGGATAAAACATTAGACTTGTCAGCAACCATAGGAGCAAAACGAGCGATTAAATATATTTATAGGAATATTGAGAGCAGAGCTCCGGGGTCGTATTTCACAATATACAGAAAATTAGCCAGGTATTTGCACAGGATAGTTATAGATTGGGACGCAGGACTTTGCAAACACTCTTTCTCGTAATTACCTACCACACGGCTTGGAGTCTACGTTCTATCACGTTTGTGACCTTCACCCTCACTCTGGCAGCGTTATTCAATAAAATGTGTTTTGGGAAATTGAAGAAGTGTTAAGAAGTTAAAGGGCCCAAGGCAGGTTACAGTTTTGTGGCCCACTTAATTCTTCTGAATGAATTCTGGTGAATGGGGCCAGCAAAATTCATGGTTCCTGGGCTATAGGCAGCTGCCTAAGGTCGCCTTATGGTTAAAATGTAAAATATTGAATTTTATATATTTTAAAAGTTCACCAAAATAAAGGCTCTGGTTACATGTTTTCCCACTGTAACGGATCCCCTATACTCCAGCTGAGTATATCCGTTAGTAGTTTCCCGATTCCCAAGTGCTGCAGTGGTTATAGTTATCCTGTTTCCAGCAGAGTAGTGATTAGAGCTCTCCAATCCCACAAACATGAGCCTAGACTTCACGAAGGGGTAAAACTAATGTGTTTAATGGGAGCCACATGGCCTTTTATGTAACTCCCCATGCAAGGGGTTTCCTTAATCACATTCCAGGGGCATTCCCTTCTAGACCTGAGATGGAACTAGTTACAAGCAAACATTCCACATTCTCCTCCCCTGTGCCTGAGAGATAATTACCTGAGCACACAAACATATAATTAAATTATCTCTCAGCTACAAAAACATTTTTAACAAACCCCAAAAACACCACCAAAACACATGAAAACCCCACTGATCTGGGTGACTAACATATCCAAAAATCACCCAGGTCGGTTCAGTGGTTCGGGATTTTCATGGAAGTCAATTATTTGACCGACAGTGCACATGGTCCTATGCCCAAAACAGATCCAGGAAATCAGGGCTAACGGTCGTCTCTTTTCGGGAGCACAAAAGGTTACTTGTGTAGCCTGTTCCCCTTGTTCGTGGGAACGTTTCCACCAAACTGTGCCTTTCTAAGTGGGGTAGAACCGAATGCAGGCGATGATGAAAGTCCAGCTGTGTTCGGGAGTTTAGTTCCATGAGATTTATGCTACCCAGATGAACACTTAGAACACTGCGGTGGAAATTGCTACAAAGTATCAATTGGGCTTAACAAGCACCCAGGTGGTCTCTGTTTCGTGCGGCTCTTCGATTCCCGAACAATATAAGCCAAATTGCACAAACCAAGTCCTTTTTCAGTGTATTTTGCATGGCCCATAATCCTGGGGCAGGAGGCTGGCTAGCAGGCTTCTCCAGGAGCCCGTGACGAGGTTCGTCACACCTACCCACCCATCTTTCCCCTAGAATAGAATATAAATGTTTGGAAGACAAGATTTTCTAAACCATCTATTTTCTATTGCTTTTCTGTGTCTGATATTGATACATTAAGAGATTTGTTTTGTCAATGAACCAATAAAAGTGCTCAGTTCAGTGACTGACTGATTTTTTTCACTAATAGCAGGTCAGAAACCAGGAAGTGGTGGGGGAGGAGTGTGCTACCTTCCCTTAAAACCTAGTTAACGCTGAATAAGTTAGTTCCGAAGATTATCTTTATTTTGCATTACCGTGTATATTGCTTCTGTGAGTCATATGAATAATTTATCTAACAGAAACAACATTGACCACAATTTTCCTTTAAGACCGTGTGCAGTGGTCCTGTTTGAGTCAGACAGCAGGACTTATTTCCGCAGCAATTTAGCCATTCGTATTTGAATAAGCAAATAATTTTCTTCCGTGAGGATTTCTATTTACCTAATGGAATAATCCAGTAATATCTCATTAAACCTTTACCTTGCAGGTCACATTTTTTTTTCTTCTGCTTCAAAGTCATAGAGACAGTGAGAATGATACGATAAAATTATAAGATACAATGTCTGCTTTTTATTCACCCTTTACAGATTTTAGGATTCTCTATTCTAAATTCACACGTTGGGTCGACCTGTCGAAAGGACTATTTTGGCCGTTATTATTCCAGCTAGCCCAGGTGAACGAATGTGATTGCAATAGATGCTTTGTACAGACCCACTGGATAATTTGAAAAGAAAAAAAATGTCAATGAACGGAATATAACTTGGCTGATAAAACATGTGGCACAAAGCAAAAGGTCACTTTCCGAGCAACTGTTTCTTCTGTGTGGGCTTCTAATTTCTGCCTATTGTGTAACACAGAATAGACTGGCAATAAAAGGCAAATGGATATATTACCCACAGCCCAGCAGTGTTTGGAATGGGAGCCCTTATCATACCGAGCTGAAAGGTCTCCTGCAAAAACTGATAATCATCTTTTTTTTCTTTCTTTCGATATATGTATACACACGCTTTTATCTCTGAGACAGCCTGGCAGCTCTCAAACTGGGGGGAAATAAATGTAACCAGCGCCTAATATCAGACCAACACTACACATCATACGGCAGAATATCATATAAATATATTATAAATATCTACAACATGTCATAGAAATATATGTAAATAAATTACATCTATTAGAAGAAAAAAGATATATATATTATTATTATTGCCGTTTACAGGTATATAGTGTGTATATAGGTATATATATTTCGTAGCACTTTACAATATTATCAAAGGGGGAGATTTAACAATAAATGAGACAATGACAAACGATTTCAGAAACAATAAGTTGAAGAGGACCCTGCTCAAACGAGCTTACAGTCTATAGGAGGTGGGGTATAAAACACAATAGTATTGGAGATAGCAATCAAACAAGGTGGGAGTGAGGCAGAGCTGGAGGAGAGAGTAGAGTGCTGCACATACCTCACCTCTCTTGCTCTCTCCTGAAGGGGAGAGCAAGAGAGGTGAGGTATGTGAGGTAGAGGTTACTCTGGGAGGCCATAAGCTTTCCTAAAGAGATGAGTTTTGAGGCACTTCTTAAACAATTAAAGACTAGGGGAGTCTGATGGCTGTAGGCAGGCTATTCCATAGGAAGGGAGCCGCCTGCGAGAAGTCCTGCAAGCGTGAGTTGGCCGTACAGGTGTGAGCAGCAGACAAGAGAAGGTCACAGACAGAGCGGAGAGACGAAAAAGGGGCACACCTATCGATCTGTGAAGAGATATAAGAGGGGCTAGAATTGGTCAGTGCTTTATAGGTATGGGTTAGCACTTTGAATTGACTCCTATAGAATACAGGAAGCCAATGTAAGGACAGACAGAGGGGTGAGGTGTGAGAGGAGCGACTGGCGTCAGCATTTATTACAGACTGTAGCGGGGCAATGCGTCTTCTGGGAAGACCAATTAGGAGAGGGTTACAATAATCCACGTGAGAGATTACTAGAGCATGGACAAGCTCCTTAGTAGTATCATGCGTAAGAAAGGGGTGGATGCGGGCAATGGTTTTAAGCTGGAATCAGCAGTATTTGTTAACAGACAGGATGTGAGGTCAGAGTCAAGTACGACTCCAAGACAGCATGCTTGCAAGGATGGGCTGATGTGGGGTCCACTAACTTGAAGGGAGAGCAAAAGAGGAGGATCAGTATTAGGAGGAGGAAAGATAAGGATCTCAGTTTTAGAGAGATTTCGTTTCAGAAAGCAGGAGGTAATCCAGTCAGAGATGGAAGACAGGCAATTGGTGACACGTTGTAGGATAGCAGGGGAGGAGAGATACAGTGCTTTGCAAAAGTATTCACCCCCTTGGCATTTTTTGTGTTTTGTTGCCTCACAACCTGGAATTAACATGGATTGTTTGAGGATTTGCATCATTGTTACAGAACATGACCACAACTTTGAAGCTGTTTTTTTTTGTTATTGTGAAGCAAACAACAAATAGGACAAAATAACAGAAAAAGTCAATGTGCATAACTATTCACCTCCCTGAAGTCAATACTTTGTAGAGCCACCTTTTGCGGCAATCACAGCTCCAAGTTGCTTTGGATAAGTCTCTATTAGCTTGCCACATCTTACCACTGGGATTTTTGCCCATTCCTCCTTGCAAAACTGCTCCAGCTCCTTAAGTTGGATGGTTTGCGCTTGTGAACAGCAATTTAAGTCTGACCACAGATTTTCTATTGGATTGAGGTCTGGGCTTTGACTAGGCCATTCCAACACATTTACATGTTTCCCCTTAAACCACTCAAGTGTTGCTTTAGCATTGTGTTTGGGGTCATTGTCCTGCTGGAAGGCGAACCTCCATCTTAGCCTCAAATCACGCACAGATTGGTACAGGTATTGCTCAGGAATATCCCAGTATTTAGCACCATCCATCTTTCCCTCAACTCTGACCAGTTTCCCAGTCCCGGCTGCTGAAAAACATCAGATGGTGTTCTTTGGGTGATGTGATGTGTTGGGTTTGCGCCAGATATAGTGTTTTCTTTTATGGCCAAAAAGTTCAATTTTAGTCTCATCAGACCAGAGCACCTTTCTCCATACATTTTGGGAGTCTCCCAAATGCCTTTTCGCAAACTCAAAATGTGCCATTTTGTTTCTTGCTGAAAGTAATGGCTTTCTTCTGGCCACTCTGCCATAAAGCCCAACTCTATGGAGCGTACGGCTTATTGTCATCCTATGTACAGATACTCCAGTCTCTGCTGCGGACCTCTGCAGCTCCTCCAGGGTTACCTTAGGTCTCTGTGCTGCCTCTCTAAATAATGCCCTCCTTGCCCGGTCCGTGAGTTTTGGTGGGCGGCCATCTCTTGGCAGGTTTGCTGTTGTGCCATGTTCTTTCCATTTATCATAAAAATTTATCAAGTACACTTTTTACTTATACCTTATTCCAGCGCTGAGACTTTTAGATTTAGACCGCCAGCAATGCCATCAAGGAGTCTTGGCTTCCTTGGTGATGGTCCAATCCTCATAGAGGATCATCGGGCACCTGTTGGGTATGCGCCGTGAGTGCCACACACACATTCAGGAGAGCATTAAATCCAATGCTTTGTTATGAGCTGCCATGTCAAGTGACAGTTTTACTCGGTCAGTACAGCGGAGGCACCTGGAGTGGCTGCCAAATGCTGTGTAAATGCCAATGTTTTACCTTCAAGGGTTAAATGTACAGAACCAACGCACCCAGAGATTGAGATGAAGTTGTCTGGGTGACTATCGTGGTCCTTTAAATATTACTAATCCAGAAAAAGTGTGTGAAATAGAAAAATCCTTTAACTCCCTTGTGTTAATCCTTCATTGACTATGGTAATCATATGCAAAAATAATGACCTTAATTGAGCTCATTAATGTCATATTATTTCAGAATGACTCCCTGCTATCACACATAATGGAAAGTTCTTTATCTAAGAGCCGCTCCCGGACCCATTCTGGGAAGAAATATCATTGTCATCGGTGGGAGAACTTCTCTCCTTTCTCAAATTGTTGCACCCCAGTGACGTTGATGCTGCAGTTAGAAGAATGTATCCATATAATCATTAACATTGTTCTATTAAAACTGCAAAACATACTGTAACAATGAAAGCAGCAATGTGATGCACAACATGCTTGGTGCTTTACATCCATTCTAAGGACATGGAGCTATGACCTACTGATACCTGGGAGGGGACCCCATGCTGAATACAGGGAAATAAAACATCCCTTGTGAACAGGGGGACTTTGATAGAATTGAGGTTTGGATGGGAAGGTCTAGACTTCAGTTAGAAGGCATCCTAGTCCGGTATTATGGGGTCTCAGTAATGCCATATCCACCAGAATCCAAAACGTAACGGAACCTACACTACTTCACAGATCTTATAGGGTTAAAACACTGCACCATGCGGCATTAGCCCCAGTGGTGTATCCTGGTTTTGTGCTGCCCTAGGCAGGACAAAACTCAGACGCACCCCTTGCCCCCCCCCCACCGCACCACCCCCAACCAACCCTTCCTCCCGCCTTCTAAATACACACACACACATTAATTGACAGATATGCATACACTAGCTAACAGAAACACACACTCACTAACAGAAACACACACACACACACACTAACAGACACACTCACTAACAGACAAACACACACTCACTAACAGACACACACTCACTAACAGACACTCACACTAACAGACACACAGTCAGACACACACACTAACAGACACACGCAGTCAGACACACACACACTAACAGACACACACTAACAGATACACTCACACTCACTAACAGATACACTCACACTCACTAACAGACACACTCACTCACTAACAGACACACACTCACTCACTAACAGACACACTCACTCACTGACACACACAGACACACACTAACAGACACACACACACTAACAGACACACACTAACACACACACACACACTAACAGACACACTAACAGAAATACACACACACTCACTCACATTAACACTTTTTTTTGTTTTATTTAATCCCCCCCCAGCCTCCTTACCTTTGGGAATGCTGGGGGAGGGTGGTTCTCTTTCTCCCTGGGGGTCCAGTTGCTGCTGGGCGGGCGGCGCTGGCGGGCGGTGCTGGCGGCGGCTGGCGGCGGCTGGCGAGGGAGCACTTCTCCTGAGCTCTCTCTGCTCAGCTCTCTCACATGCCGCCCGCAGAGTGAGGCTGGGAGCCGGAATATGACGTCAGACAGCTCAGCAGACAGCTCAGGGGAAGTGCTCCCTCTGGCATGTCAGTTAGCCGCCAGATATTTGCCTGGGCATTTGGGGGCGGCTTTTTTTGCCGCCCCCTGGAAAATGCCGCCCAAGGCAAATGCCTTGTTTGCCTCATGGTTAAAACTTCCCTGATTAGCCCCCTAACACTTTGGCTGCGTTTCCCCAGCGATACTCAATCTTAGAATTTGCAGTAGATCTTTTTGGCAAATATAACCCCTCGATTTATTAAGCGGCACAGCGCTCCAAAACCAACCAATCATAGTGATCTGAATTCAAGGTGTGGGATTATTCCCTCCTTTAAAAAACTAATTTTTAACAGAAAAACAGCTCACATGAATTTTGTCAATTGCGGCAGACTTTTTGTGATTCAGGTCTTTTTTTATTTTCAACATTTCATCTGTTTAAAAGATTTTTATTAGTCCTGTTTTGGGGCTCCAGTGGATTAACCCCTTAGTGGCCCGGAGACTAGGCATCACCTGGGCCCTTATGTGTAATAAAGGTGTTAATCCCAATTTGGCCCATAACGTGTATTTATTTTTTATTTCTAAATTTATTGGCTTATAATATTTTAATACAGGACCCAGCAGATGCCCGGGGGCAATAATAATTTATGGCATACCAACCTATAGGCTGATTTCCAATTTCGCAATTTAGAATTCAGGGGGTTTACAGAGAATGGGGCTGCCCATCAAAGGCTCTAGGGATCCATTAACATTAAAGTAAACATTCCATTGGCTTCCATGGAGATTGCCCCATTTCATAAATTAAATTACTGAGCTAGAAATGATCCCCTCCCCCATATTTCACCAGTTGAAACATATAACCTGTCTCTTACTGGCTTCACTGTTACTCTGCACCTACTGTCAGCCAGCACTAATTCTGAGCACAGTCAATGCTCTGCCTCTCTGTCGTGTGATATTTCATAGAACTTCGGAGGAAACTGTCAGTCTCTAAACAAATAATGACAATAAAAAACTCAAATATGGAGACTGATGTTACTCTCTTTAAATAAAAAGCCTCTGTGAACACTCCGGGAGACAAATGTAGAGAAAAATTAAATGTCAGCAAAAGACAGGAACGTAGAAAGAAAATTAAGAAGAAAAATGATAGCGCCAACGTTAACCCTTTCACTGCATTTTCAAAGGAAGTAAAATGGATTTGCTGATATCCTAATATCAATATGTATATCTAGGTACTTTATCTAAGTAGACTATAGGAGAGTCACACAGATTTCCCTTAGAAGATGCTGTCAATTTCTATGTTCATTCAAATTCCACATCTTCCCCTTACATGTGTTGGGGGAGGGGAGGGCGAGGAGGGATGAGAAGGGGTTCTAGATTCTGCCTGGCAGAATTGATGGTTAGAGGATAATTACTAAATGTGAAGTGACCAAAAAAACGTGAAAAAGTAGAAAGAGTAAAAAAAAATCTATATTTATTTATGTATTGTATATTTAATTAATATACAAACAGAGATTTCTCTATAGATTTTCCGACGGTTTTTCCCTCTATTGGTAACACTTTCTTGCTTGATCTCTGAACCAATGGCAGGAAAATGCGCCAATATGTGCACCGCCAAAAGATTTATTATATCATATTACATTATATTATATTATACTGTGTAGCGGATAGCACCAGGCGACCCTACAAATATACTGTTTTTACCTGCATTCATGTATCTGCTGTATTTTCTATGTATTAAAAAGAATTGTATTCCTCTGGTTGTTCGGTAGGTTCATTCCCTTAGTTTATTCGAATGAAACTACCGAACAACCAGACCTCCCCTGTGTGAAGTGTGTCTTCAATTACCCATTGCAACATTGTTGCGAACGGGTAATTGAATAGTAAGTAGCCGTCCTTTGTTCTCGGGGGTGGCCGCCATTCGACAAACGAACACGTGGCGGCGGCCATTTTAAAACTCCCGAACAGCGGTGTTTTGCCCGTCAAGTGTCTGGAACTAAAATCGGACACTCGAGTAGGCGAACACCACTGAGACCTCCACAGCCCTGGTCCGTTCGGTTCCAAACTACCGAACGGCCCCTCGTTCGGTAGATAGAAAATACCGAACGAGGGGATTCAGGCGAACCCTCCCTAGCCTCTATAGCTAGAGGCTTTCATGTATTTTGTTCCCTTATGCCAGGACCGACCGCAGGGCCCATTCGCATGGAACCTTATTCGGCTATATCAGTTAGTGCGGTCGGTCATTTTATTCCCTCCATACATTTCCCGAACCCCTGGTCTGATCTGGGTGATTTTTGGATATGTTGTTCACCCAGATCAGGGGTATCCGGGGATGTAGGATTTAAAGAGGTACCCCTACGTTTAGGGGTACATCCAGAAACGGGGGGAATTGGTGTGCTGGATAAGGGGATTATGATGCTGGCTGAGGGGAGGAGATGGGTGGGAGGTTACCAGGACAGGATTGGCTACTGTAATAATTACTGTAAATCCCTCCCTTGCATGGGAGCATGCTTTATAAGGAGACTGTGATTAAAGGCTTGTCAGTTATGCTCCTGAAATTGTGTGTCGTCCAGTTATTGGGATTGCTGTTGGGATATTGCTGTGTTTTACCTGCTGGAAACCTTGCCTGTGGATTTACTATTTACTTGTTCCTGAGTCCCACTTGGATTATAAGCGGAGATAATCTGGGTAATATTGCATCTCCGCTACATACTGTATTTGGTATATAGTTTGCAGTACACAAATTGGCCCATTTGCAGGCCTTTTTTGTTCTTCTGATTCGCTTCCTGAATTGGAATCTCTGTTCCGACATTCTGCAGAGCTGAACCAACGAAAGTTGGCTGTCCCGAACGTAAAATATAGTTTGGCCAGGTTGAATTCTCTCACTGTGTACAGGTCTTGGAAGCATTACTGCCATTAAAGACATGTTTGCTCAGTTGACAGACGTTTTGTTGCCAATCAACCATATGTATTTTCTCGCTAATGTGATAATTATTTGGGTACACAGCATAATCAGTCTGTGTGGGTGCACCTTCTCTATATAAGCACATTTGACTATCTCAGTCCCTCTGCTACCGTTCACTTTATCATCTGTTCTTTTTTTAACTTTTTTTTTTATTATTCAGTGATTACCAAACAGATATTCTCTTAAAATAATAATAGACCTCTCGCAAATAAAAAACAGATATCTATTTAGAGCAGGACAACACATGCAAGTTGCATTCTTTAAGTAAGAAACACTCTAGGCACCACAACAACTTCATCAGAATTAAGTCTTTATGGTGGCAGAAAGTCCCTACCATCAGGACTCAAAAAATTAGTGAACATTTTAACCCCCCAAGCTGGTCTGCTCTGACCCCAACCTTTTGATGTAGTCCGAGGCCTATCATTAGCCCTATTCACAAAATGGACTGGGGAAAGTAAATACTATTGTGACTCCATTTTGTGAATGGGGAGCTACTGATAGTTGAAAGTTGACCTACGCCAGACACAGGACCATAGGTGTGGGCAGCCTATTGCATAAGGGTGTGCACCCTAAAGCACAAACACAGACGCCGCATATATATAGATATATATACACACATATACTGCTGTGTGTGTGTGTGAGGGTGCTGTGTGTTTGTGTGGGCACTGTGTGTGTGTAAGGGTGCTGTGTGTGTGAGGGTGCTGTATGTGTGAGGGTGCTGTTAGTGTGTGTGCATGTGTAAGGGTGCTGTGTGTGTAAGGGTGATGTATGTGTGTGAGTGCTGTATGTGTGAGGGTGTATGAGTGAGGGTGCTGTATGTGTGAGGGTGCTGTTAGTGTGAGGGTGTTGTTAGTGTGAGAGGGCTGTTAGTGTGTGTGTGTGCGCTGTGTGTGTGTGAGGGTGCTGTATGTGTGTGGGTGCTGTATGTGTGTGGGTGCTGTGTGTGTGAGGGTGCTGTTAGTGTGAGGGTGTGCTTTGTGTGTATTTGTAAGGGTGCTGTGTGTGTGAGGGTGCTGTATGTTTTATGGGTGTGTGTGTGCTGTGTGTTTGTGTGTGTCTAAGCGGGCTGTGTGTGTAAGGGTGCTGTATGTGTGTGGATGCTGTATGTGTGTGGGTGCTGTGTGTGTGTGGGTGCTGTGTGTGTGAGGGTGCTGTTTGTGTGTATTTGTTTGGAAGGACTGTGGGGGTGGGCAGGACCGTTTAGGAAAAAGCCCCCCTCCCTTCTTACCTTTTGCCTGGGAGGGGGGACCGTGCTGCTGCCATCCCTGGTGGGCCGCGGCAACGCTCCGACCTCGCAAGAGGAACCCAGCGGAGCTGCTGGCTAGAACTCCCTGGGTCCTCTCCTGCCTCCCTCCCTGCCTGTGGGCCGGTGAGGGAGATCTTTAATAGGGCGTGCTGCAGGATTAGAGTGTGCCCAGGCACATCCGGCACACCCCATGCACACGCCTATGCACAGGACATTGGAGTTAAACCACTCATTAATGGTTTAACTCTTGAAAGTAAGTCAGCATCAGGAATATCTTAGCAATGTAACATCTTGATTCAGATGAAGCTGTTATGATGCCCAAGTGTTCATTTAAGCCTACTATTGAGATGAAGTGGTCTGGGTGACTTCATTAGTAAGATATCCCATAAATTGTTTATAATCCCGATCCCAGCCAGCCCATTCTCTCGCCTTGGGGCCATCGGAGTAGATGCCCTATCCAATCTCCCTCACTGGCCTGATACTTCTGCTGTATCAGAGCATTGCAAAAAGTTTCAACACTCTGATACACTTCCCTGCGCCAGCCATAAAGACCAGTCTCCACCCATCAGTTGGGACAAAGATAGCAGCATCTCAGCTCAGCTGATACAAAATCAAAGAGTCCCAGTAACTAGAAGGAGCTGCTAATTTATACAAGTAGCAGGTCTGGCTAGAACTAAACCAGCTTTGATGGTAGTGTGAGAGCACCTCCTCCCTCTTCATCCTAGCATCTGGACAAGAAGTCCAACCAAGGGAACCATAATCAGGTATACTTCTCTGTTATGGCCACCTTAGACAGCCAAGGAGAAATGGAAGGAGTTTGCACTGTCTTCCAAAATAACAGAACGAGAGACTCAACTGCATTTTCTGTGTTTAGTAAAAATCTGAAAAAAAATTTTTTTTTATTTGGATAATAGTAAGGGAGTGTTGTGCTGGAGCACAGACTGAGGCCGAAATGAAGGCGGACTGCCCCTGATATCTTTAATAACCTCCTAAACCTTTCTTTTATTTTTCTAAAACCTTCATCAATGCTATGGAGATACGAAGTGAATTTTATTTTTGTTGAAGATCTGGAAGAAATAAAACACACTGATTTTGCGTGTATTTCTTGCTCATATGGTTTGATGATAGCAATGTAAAGAATTGTTTAATGGGGCCTTTTCCATTTTTTCCTGGTCTTTGCTGCCCTCTAGTTGTTGCATCAAGTTAATAAGATATAATTATAATCAGATGATAAAACGAATCAAAACTACACTGTCACAACCAAGATACATATTTGATAAACTGTTTAAAAAAAATGATATTTTATAACAAAATCCATGGTGTTCAAGCATGATGTCAGGAGCGGATAGCAATAGTTTACAAGCAGTGGACATAATGTACCAGGAAGTTATAGCAATCCACTATTAATATATTAATCAGCTACTGGTACCATTAAATTAGAGCATACAAACTATACACATTATGTAGTCCCCTAGGCAACTAATACAACCTTTACATTTTACTTTTTAACCAACAGGCACTGGACATTCTCTTTGTGACTGACCTCAAATCTACCTATGTCATAAGACAAAGCAGAGACAATCTGATTTTTGTCAAAATGTGTGAAGAGACCAGAACCTGTTTCTTTTTTCCACCTACGGTGATGGGAACAGGCATCCTGTGATGTAACCCCCACCTCCTATAGACTGTAAGCTTGTTTGAGCAGGGTCCTCTTCAACCTATGATTCCTGTAAGTTTTCTTGTAATTGTCCAATTTACAGTTAAATCCCCCCTCTTATAATATTGTAAAGCACTACGGAACCTGTTGGCGCTATATAAATGGCGATGATAATAATAATGATAACCCAGAAAACCTGCCTATGGCATCTCATTGAACTTGCATTAAAAGATCTCTGGGGCATCACATAGACCCCATGTTTCTATACCTCCAAAATCCAGCGTCCTGTGACTCGTGATAAGAGGAGTGAAAGGGGGTGGACCAGTGATGTGATAATGTCACTTGCACTAGTCAAAAGCGTGGATCCACCCAGAAAGGGGTGGACCTGCCCAAAACATTGTCAGGTCAGCCAGGCGTGAATGTGTTCAGGTGCCTGTCCATCATTCCCACTGAGGGAGCACTGTTTCAGTGCTCTATGTTCGTGCTTCTCGGGGACAATTCCCAAAAGTGGGACACCAGAGAACTCATTGGGAACTGTGGGACAGGACCTAAAAATCAGGACTGTCCTGCTCAAAATCGGGACAATTGGGAGACCTGAGCTTCTACTCATATGCATGCACGAGAGTACACCCATGACAGGGCTGCTGGCAAGTAGAGTCACCAGGTGCTGAAACCGAGGTATTACCTTTACCTCTTTAGTTTATATTGTCTCCAATTATCTCCTTTTTTTCTCTTACAGCGACCCTTGTGCATCTTTTACTTCATCCCAGTCCCTGTGTGTTTCTTTTTCCTCTTCTCCAGCCTCTGTATTTCTCTTTCCCCCAGCCACTTTGTCTCTTTCTCCCCTTCCAAATCTCATCTGTGTGTCTCTTTCTAACTCCAGACTTGTGTGCCTCTTTCTCTTCTCCCAGCCACTCTGTCTCTTTTTCCCCAGCCCAGCGTTGCCTCCCACAAATCTTGTGTCACTTTGTTCCCCTTCCCTACTGTATGTCTCTTTGTCCCCCCAACAAACCTTCTGTGTGTCTCTCTTCCCCATCTCCTCCCTGTGTCTCTCTTCCCACATCTCCTCCCTGTGTCTCTCTCTTACCCCTCTGTCTCTTTGTACCCAGATCCCCTGTGTCTCTCTATTACCCCATCTGCCTCTGAGTCCCCCTTCTCCCGTGTCTCTCTATTACCCCTCTCTTTGTCCCACCAACCCCTATGTCACTCTATTACCCGTCTGTCTCTCACAAACACTAAGAACACGTACATCACTGCTTTCAAATAGTAACAGTACATACAGATATACAACTGCATTCAAATGCCAAGATAACACACAAATACATACATTCATTCAAACACACAAAACACGCTTAAATTTGTCACCAGTTGTCTTTTATTCATAAAAATTGTAATGCTCTTCATTAACAACTATATGTAATGAATTTATAACTTTGAATGCCGCCCTGAGATAAATCTTGTTTTTTTTAATGCTTCCCTCGAATCACCTAAGGTAGGACAGCCCTGGCAAAGATCGTGCTCCATGCAGCCTCACTGCTCAATTTTCAACTATTTAGGAGTTAAATTGCCTTTTTATCTGCAGCCCTAGCCACACGTTTCCTGGCTGGGACACAGACCGCCTCCATGAAAGAAAATTCATTTTGAATCAGATCTTACAGCACAATGTTTTTACTTTAGAAGTTCTTATCTTCTGCTCTGTTAATTGAATGTTAATCACACATAGTAGAATCTTATACGCTCTAGCAGGCTATTATTACAGAAGGAAATAATAAATGCTGAATTAAACATAATTTGCAACAAAGGAAGTTTAAACATCAGATCTCACATTACAGGAAGTGTTTTGGAAAGTTGTGTGAGTCACATGCAGGGAGGTGTGGCTAGGGCTGTATAAACAAAGGGATTTAACTCCTAAATGGCAGAGAATCTAGCAATTAGGCTGCAGAGGCATGATCTATACACCAAAACCACTTAATTAAAGTTGTTTTTGTGTTTGTAGTGTCATTTTAACTAATAACTTCCTTTATTAATTGTGTAAGAATGCTTTCAGTTAACCAGTTGGAAATTGGTATTTAATTTATCATTTAACAATCAATCATTAATTTATCTTGCTCTATCACAGTTTAAAATTCAATATGTTTATTCTGGTAACTGTATGATATGCATGTAATATGTTTCCTAAAGGTTTCATTTACATTAATCTTTTATACAGTGTCTTACTGCCACCTTGTGGTTGTATCTTATATTGCATTTTACTTCAAAATAGCATTGCGATACATTGTGTGCCATTCTAGTACTCTAATCAATGTACTCTGCAGTACATTAAGTTTTGTCTATAGAAGCAAATTGTTACATAAAGCAATAGTTAATCAACCCTTTATTAAAAAAAAAATGTTTTATTTTACTGTAGCCCGTGTGAACATGTATATGTGTGAGATTACAGGGGACAGTGGGCACTTAGCATCTTATCATCTATTTCAACACCTTTACACATGAACACTCTCCAAGAATTGAACATGGATTATCCGAGATGTTCTGCAGCAGCAACAGCAGATAGGGAGCTTTCAATCATTAGACGAAGTGTTTTCAAATAATCTATAGACACAATCATCTTCACCATGGCTAGGGAAGAGAAAAAAAATGAAATCCTGCAAATTTGTTGGGGTTTTTCCCCCACTCTGTAGGAATCATGTAAACATATTTTTTTTTTTGCTAACAAAACTTTAGGGACACCGCTCTAACAGTGTGCCATTACATGCTGAGTACAGCGCCACTCCCCGGCACTCAATAATCTCCACCTTAAAGGAACACTATAGGAATAAAAACACGTGTTCATAACAATTTAGATTATTCTCTCCCCTCCCCCCAATGAATAAAATAAAACATTTCACTTACCTTACTGAGCCAGTCTCTGTGCTAGTAATTTCCACCAATCCAATGCTTCATAGAGCAGTCAATGCATCTCAATGGGGAGCGTACAGCGTCTCATGCAGAGTGTGAACACACTGAATGTCAGTCCTGCAGTCTTTCCAGGACCGAACCCAGGAAGCCACTATAGTGACATCAGGCAGCACTGTAAACGTTGTCTTTTCTCAGAAAAGGCAGCGTTTACAGTGCGTAGGCTGCAGAAACAATCTCTTTACTATAGAATCACTACATTAAGCTGTTTTTAGCATGTATAGTGTTCCTTTAATATTGCAGAAAGTGCTCCTGGTACCAAGTGTTCACCAACCCTGGCCTATGTATAAAGCCAATGAGAGACAAAACTACACAAGGGAAGGCTGATAGAAGGGACACAAAATGAACACTAGGTGGCAGTGTGAAGAATGCTTAGTAAGGGGGCCATTGTTTCCCTCAGGAAACGAGAATTAGGTTAATACAAATTACTGGGAGCAAAGGGACACAGGAAAAAGTAAATATATAACTTCTCTTAGTTGTTCACCTGCTATTTTGATGCAGATATAGTTAAAGGGACACTGTAGTCACCAAAACAACTTTAGCTTAATGAAGGAGTTTAGGTGTATAGATCACTTTGTTTATGCAGCCCTAGTCACACCTCCCTGCATGTGACTTGCACAGTCTTCCTAAACACTTCCTGTAAAGAGTCATCTAATGTTTACACTTCCTGTTTGGCAAATTCTGTTTAATTTAGAGTTTCTTATCTCCTTTCCTATTAATAGCTTGCTGGACCCTTTGGGAGCCTACTGCATGTAATTAAAGTTCAATTTACAGAGCAGGAGATTTAAAATAAGTTACATCTGATGAAAAAATTAAACCATATTGTTTTTATGCAGGCTGGATCAGTCAAAGCCAGGGGAGGGAGCATTAACAGAAACAAAAGTGATTTAACTCCTAAATGGCAGAGAATTGAGCAGTGAGACTTCAGAGGCATGATCTATACACAAAAGCTGCTGCATTAAGCTAAAGTTACTTTGGTGACTATAGTGTCCTTTTAAACAAAAATTCTGTTAATAACTAAGGAAAATAAACAGGGTTATTCACTAAACTCTGACTTTTTGTGAATCTGAATGGTAAAAGCTAGACTACAGGGTAAGAATTGCAAAGAGAATGCAATGAGAATTTCATATTTAAGGTCGAAATTGCAGAAAAAGGAGAGTAAGCCTGTGGTCAGTTGCCCTTTTGAATAAGTAGGAAAGAGGTTACTCTAGCTAGTCTGGAATATAAATAGGTACCCCTTTCCCCGAGTAAGGCACAAGGTACATCACCTATATTCCAAAGATTATAGAAGACTATTGGTTCATTTGATTCGGACGAATTTCGATCAATATTATCGGTTCAGTATTCCCATTCTGTTGAATGGAATGCCGCAGTCGCCGCCAAACGTTTCTGTGGTTCAGATAGCTAGATAAGTCCTTAATTTGGTACCCCTATTGACGATTGCCATATTAAAGAGTACCATAATAGAGAGAGAGTTTTGTTTAGTAGATAGCTCTATATTTTAGAATCTTTACTTATGGCAATCCCACATAAGGATACCAAATTACGGAGCTATCTACTATGTAGCTGAAAGATCAAAATTAAGAAGATTCATTTTCCTAAATGGGTACTATGGGAACTAAAACAGCTTAATGCTTAATGAAGCAGTTTGGATGTATAGACTTTCACGCCAAGGGTGCATAATTCATTGTTGCACTACAGAATACTGCTATTTAGTCTGATTTGTGTAGTGCATACATGAATTGGCTACTTGGCAGAGGTGGTATGGCCAATTTGATTGTAGAGGATAGATGTCAGAGGGGGTTAATTTAAATTATATAGGAATATGATAGATCAGTGCTCCTCAACCCTCTCGTCAAGGCATACCTAACAGTCCAGGATTTAGGGATGTCCCAGGTGTGTCTAAGGTGTTTAGAAAAAGAAAAAACAGTGTTTTTTTAAACACCTTAGACACACTCGGGTAATCCCTAAATCCTGGACTGTTAGGTGTGTCTTGAGGAGAGAGTTGAGGAGCACTGTGATAGATGTCAGAAGCTTTCCAACTCCTTTGAAGCTGTGACTCCGGAGCCCCTCTGCAAGGTGTGAAATGTTACACACGCGTTGCCTCTGAGTCTAGTTTTAAAGTAAATTAACTAAATAATCTGCCGTACACGTATATCCCCTCTAATATAGTGGGAACTTTTGATATGCTAAGTGACCCTTAGCAGTTAAAAAGACCATGGTCCTCCAGTGTCACATCCAAAAGAAACATTAAGAATAACCCACAGATGAATAATCGTGCCTCCTTTTGTGCATATTTAGAAAGTAAAAAGATAACTCTACAAAAAGAATTGAAATACGGTTAACACAGCTTAAGCCATTCGGAAGGAATTGTAAAGTCCGTTGTATTAGGTCAAAAGAAGTAAGTATGACATATTTATGGAACGGGTGCAATTTTTATTTCTGTGGCGACCACAAAAGATGAGATAAAATAAAGTTTCTATTTGGATTGATGTTGTTCTGAAACACAAGGGGGAGCCTACTTATTGTTCCTATAAGTACACCTTCCCCTCCACCTATACCACCTCTGGGCCGGCTTGGAAACCTGAGATGTATACAGGAGGTATAAATCTAATTGATAGGAAAATGTCTAGTGTGCTTACTAAGGGCCAAGATCGAATTTCGAGAAAGACGCTACGTTACCTTGCTGGAGACCCTCCGATCAGAAAATACTGTTACTTTACCATCTAAGTGAGTAGTTAGGTTTTCTGTTAAATTCTTCATATTATGTTTAATTGCTATTGGTGTAAATAATTTGTTTGTCATCAGATTTTATATATGCACTGTGACTATTAAATATTCTTTTATTAAGTTCTGCCTTTGTCTAGTAAAGACTCATTAGATCAATTTATTAGTATTTTGAAATAACATAGATACTGTGCTAAATTGTATTTAGTGGGTTTTTATTCTAATTTACTTGGTGGACCAAGACATCCCATGTATAAATTGTCTTGGTGGTGGCAGCGTTATAAAATAGTATTATTTATATTATTGTAATTAAGTGTGGGTGGTTATAAGGAGTATTTTTATATTTTTTTTCTGGTCTAGTGCAGACAAATAGTGAATTATAATAATTTCACCTACAGAACTAAGTCATGCGGACACTTAGAGTAGAGTGTGTGACATACACCAAGCCTCTGCTGTCTCACTGCTAAATGATCTGCCATTTAGGAGTCAAATCTATTTTGTTTCTGTCCATGCAGTCCTAATCAGGGCAAAAGGGGGTTGTGACAAAACGCTGTATTTTATTATCCCAGTTAATTCCCCTGTGTTCATTAGGGAACAGTACCTCGGCCATAGAGTAGGTTCTGGACATCAGTGACCAGAACCCGCCATGGTAGAGGCTATTGCCAATTGGCCCCAACCCCGTACCAAGACACAGGTACAAGCGTTTCTAGGGACTGCATGTTACTACCGCAAGTGTGTCCCTGACTATAGTGCCCTCGTCAAGCCACTCACTGACCTGACAAAAAAGTCCCTTCCCAGACAGCTAGTGTGGTCCCTGGAGTGTGATGCCGCCTTTTGAGAGTTTGAGCACAGAAATAAGTGAAGCACCTGTGTTGGTCGCCCATACTATCATACTAAGAAATTTCTTGTCCACACAGATGCCTCCATATTTGGGCTGGGAGCCATGCAAAGCCAAGTGGGGTACGAGGGAATGGAGCATCCAGTAGCTGAATACTGTTACCCAGAGAAGTCAGCTATTCCACCGTGGAGAAAGAATGCCTGGCTCTTGTATGGGCATTAAAGAAATTACAACCCTATCTCTATGGTCGTCCCTTCACTTTAATTACTGATCACAATCCCCTTATCTGGTTGAACCGGGTTGTGGGGGATAACCCCCACCTTCTGCGCTGACAAGACAGGAGAGTGCTATTCAGTAGGATTGTTCGCACAAACTAGGCAAACAATCGCTACCTATGAGCCAGGGAAACCAGTTGACATTTTATTAGTTTCTGAACTCCTGAAAGTGACCGACCGCTACCACTATATCTCTGGAACTAATTTGGGCAGACGCCAAATTGGTCAAAACTTTACCCCGGTGGCGATTCGGCTGTATTCGTGGGATCTGAGCGCTATTTGGATATTTTGAGCGCTCAGATTCGGGCTATGCGGGGATATAATGCTTGTGGGGGTTCAGATATGTTATGTGTATTTTTAATATGTTATGTTTTATACTTTGTAACTCTAGTGCCTGGAAGATAATTACGAATCGGCATTTTGGGAGTTTACGAACGAACGGAGTATACGAAATCCAAGGAGTTCGTTACAGGGGTGGACAGTGTGTGCTTGGCAAGAAGGAAGCCAATAATCCTGAAAAAAATATTGTTATTTTTAGAACTACAGGTCCTCTTTGAGGGTACCAAATTTGGGAGCTATAGCCTAAACACAACAGCTCCCTAATTTGGTACCATTAAAGGGAACCTTTAGTTCTGAAAATAACTGCATAAGGGAATCTATTTAATGAATTGACAAAAATGAACTAATGGACAAGACATGCATGGAATATATTTTTTAATTGCATCATTAGTTCATTCTTCCATTGTGCCATTTGGAATTCGAATGAAAGGCCAAATAAGCAAATTTTCTTTGAATTGATATTCTACCTAAACAAATGCCCAAGTATACACAATATCGATAGTGATAACGTCTACTTTAGAACACTAGGTGTCAGTATGATACAGCTGGAGAATTGAGGACCACTTGCTTCTGCATGTTCAAAGGCAGTACAGTGATTAATTGAAGTTAGTAATTAAATCATAGAAGCTGATGGGCATTTTCTCCTGAGCTAAACATCAGATGTCAGTCCGGTAAGAATGTACATATTTTGTTTTGCCAGTTATATACTTTTCTCCAAAAGTAAAGAGGATTTTTTTTTTAAAATGTCAATTAATTTTCTACAAATAAATGAATGAATCCCAGTTTGTGTTTGGAAACATCCCCTCAGTACAGTGCTGGCACACAGCATCTGTTGGTAGGTGTACAAAGAATCCTGATTGTTTTACAGATTGCGCAGACATGTAGTAATCAAAGGTTAAAAATAATTCAATTAAAGAAACTGTGGCTCACTGGAACCAGAATCTACACTCACTCCCACTTCTCAGTCAAACACAGTTCTATATACAAAGATGATTTTGTCCAATGACTTTAAATCTGTAATAAACCACCAATGCATCCACTCAAGAGCATAAAGCGAAGGAAACAAACAGCAAGTATATTTAAGCACTAAATCTGTAAACTGTAAAAACACGCGTAGTTTTCAATAAATATTTGTGAAATGTGTGAAGTCGGGTATATCCCAAACTGATGGTGAAATAGCATGACTACATTGTGGTTGATATCAGTGGATGTGAGTGGCATGGCTGGGTTGTGGTTGATATGAGTGGATGTAAGTGGCATGGCTATGTTGTGGTTGATATCAGTGGATGTGAGTGGCATGGCTATATTGTGGTTGATATTAGTGGATGTGAGTGGCATGGCTACATTGTGGTTGATATCAGTGGATGTGAGTGGTATGGCTACATTGTGGTTGACATCAGTGGATGTAAGTGGCATGGCTAGGTTGTGGTTGATATCAGTGGATGTGAGTGGCATGGCTAGGTTGTGGTTGATATCAGTGGATGTGAGTGGCATGGCTAGGTTGTGGTTGATATCAGTGGATGTGAGTGGCATGGCTAGGTTGTGATTGATATCAGTGGATGTGAGTGGCATGGCTACGTTGTGGTTGGTATCAGTGGATGTGAGGGGCATGGCTAGGTTGTGGTTGATATCAGTGGTTGTGAGTGGCATGGCTACGTTGTGGTTGATATCAGTGGATGTGAGTGGCATGGCTAGATTGTGGTCGATATCAGTGGATGTGAGTGGCATGGCTACGTTGTGGTTGATATCAGTGGATGTGAGTGGCATGGCTAGATTGTGGTTGATATCAGTGGATGTGAGTGGCATGGCTAGGTTGTGGTTGATATCAGTGGATGTGAGTGGCATGGCTAGGTTGTGGTTGATATCAGTGGATGTGAGTGGCATGGCTAGATTGTGGTCGATATCAGTGGATGTGAGTGGCATGGCTACTTTGTGGTTAATATCAGTGGATGTAAGTGGCATGGCCAGGTTGTGGTTGATATCAGTGGATGTGAGTGGCATGGCTAGGTTGTGGTTGGTATCAGTGGATGTGAGTGGCATGGCTAGGTTGTGGTTGATATCAGTGGATGTGAGGGGCATGGCTAGGTTGTGGTTGGTATCAGTGGATGTGAGTGGCATGGCTAGGTTGTGGTTGATATCAGTGGATGTGAGTGGCATGGCTAGGTTGTGGTTGGTATCAGTGGATGTGAGTGGCATGGCTAGGTTGTGGTTGGTATCAGTGGATGTGAGTGGAATGGCTAGGTTGTGGTTGGTATCAGTGGATGTGAGGGGCATGGTTAGGTTGTAGTTGATATCAGTGGATGTAAGTGGCATGGCTAGGTTGTGGTTGATATCAGTGGATGTGAGTGGCATGGCTAGGTTGTGGTTGATATCAGTGGATGTGAGTGGCATGGCTAGGTTGTGGTTGATATCAGTGGATGTGAGTGGCATGGCTAGGTTGTGGTTGATATCAGTGGATGTGAGTGGCATGGCTAGGTTGTGGTTGGTATCAGTGGATGTGAGTGGCATGGCTAGGTTGTGGTTGGTATCAGTGGATGTGAGTGGCATGGCTAGGTTGTGGTTGATATCAGTGGATGTGAGTGGCATGGCTAGGTTGTGGTTGATATCCGTGGATGTGAGTGGCATGGCTAGGTTGTGGTTGATATCAGTGGATGTGAGTGGTGTGCAGCCATTAAAAACAGAAGTCCACCAAAAAATACTGTCTATATTTTAGCAAAAAATATCTACCTATATCTACCTGCCTATACCAATCTAGTTGATGGTATTAACAAAGATTAACAACTTTTTTTGTGTTTTTTTTTTTTTTTACCAACAAGAATGGAAACGAGCCTAGTATCTGTAAGTTAAAGGGACACTATAGACACTAGTAGCAAACATTGCCTTTCTCCAGAAATAGCTGGTGAGATAGCTCACTTAGTAAATTCCCTGACTACAGAGTCTGTTCAAACCACAAGGTCACAGGCTTAAATCCTGACAGTGTCAACTCAGCGCTTCATCCTAACAATGTCAATAAATAAGTACCATCAATTGGGTAATAGTAATATCTATTTTGATTCAGTTCCTTCCAAAAGCATGTGCTGATAATCACTTTGAGTCCCACTGGAAGAAAGGTGCTATATAAATAATAGTTATTATTAAAGAGTAGATTTCAATTGAAATTGACACTTATATGAATTAACCTACCCCCCACCCTTCAAGCAAACAACAGGTCATGGTTTGGTTAGCTCGGTGGAGCTTAACTCAAGAGGCAGCAATTGCCTAGAGCACCTGCCTTGCAAAGAGTTCATTAAGCTGCATTGGGAAGTCTGTGATTGGATAGCCACAGAAATTCGGGTTGCTCTAGAAGGGGCGGGCTTGCAAAGTCTTCAGACAAGAAAACTACACTTTGTGCAAGCTGTTTTTAGATATACGCCCAATGAACCAATGGATAAAAAATGCATAATTAAATGCACGCAGATTTTTATTTAGGGTATGACTACAATACAGGGCTTTTTAGTTATTTTGTATTTGGGCAGTGGAGTGTCCCTATACATCTACTTATCAACTACTGTTAGGTGTTCCTTCCCCTCCCACCTAAGGTATGGTGGAATCCGGGAACCCCTTGACATAGAAACATAAAATGTGACGGCAGATAAGAACCATTCGGCCCATCTAGTCTGCCCAATTTTCTAAATACTTTCATTAGTCCCTGGCCTTATCTTATAGTTAGGATAGCCTTATGCCTATCCCACGCATGCTTAACCCCTTAAGGACACATGAGATGTGTGACATGTCATGATTCCCTTTTATTCCAGAAGTTTGGTCCTTAAGGGGTTAAACTCCCTCACTGTGTTAACCTCTACCACTTCAGCTGGAAAGCTATTCCATGCATCCACTCCCCTCTCAGTAAAGTAACTAAGTTTTCATGTTTTTGTTGTATTCCAGCTATTGCGGATTATTATAAAGCATTTCATTTAAAAAGATAAGGAAGGCAGTGGACTGCGATGTGACACTGTGCTGATTTGACCAAAAATTGGGCAATTTGTTAGTAGTTTCCCCCAGGCCAAGTGTAGCCCACCCTCCCCGGAAGGAGAACCTTTTACAAATTTCTGATCAATCTGAATATGTCTGTGTCCACTTTAAGTAAAAATTGTCTTGTTTCCATTTTGGTAACATTGGGTATATTTGAGGTATGTATAAAAGTGTTGCTAACAGAAAAGTTGGGCAAAGTTATAAAAGTAGAGCAATCACCATGGGAACTAATAGAATGTGTAGGAACTATCCGCTGGTTTCCACGACGACTGCCCAATATTTAAAACTTTTAAACTTTTTCTCCCTGTACTGTTAGGAGCAGGTTTTTTAAAAAATCCCATGTTTCTTATAACTGTATGAGCTACTGATGGTATATATATTTTACAGGGTTTTTTTTCCCACTGTACAGCGCTGTGAAATATGTTGGCACTTTATAAATGCCGGTAATAAATCAAAATAACTGTATGCGTGACAAAGTGATGTCAAAAAGCTGCTAAAATAAATGTATCCAATCCTAGTTCCATTTTCTCCCACTGTTTTAGATTAACTAACAAAATTAGAAGTTTTTAACTAAATCATAAATTGTGGGGAATTGACACGGAAAATCAAACATTTTAGGCTAAAACTGAGAAAATATTATGAGAATTTTCTAGTTTACAGGAAGGAAAGCTTATTTGTCAATTCTCCAAAAATTCATTCCATCCCAATTATTATTATTGTCGTTTTCGTTTTAGTGTCTTCCTTTAAACAGAAGGATTTGATATCTTGAATGGTTTGTAGCTTTAATACGAGCAATTTAACAAGTTGGTACTCGAATTAACGCATGGAGTCATTTATCTTTTTTATTTTTTTTATTTAAAAAATTATGCAAAAATGTGGATAAATAAATGTGATGTAGTTTGGGCAAAATTAAATCCCTTGCTTGTGTTTGAGATGTGCCATCAGTAGAGATTCTTGCTGAGGGCCCTTTAAATCCAGGACTGCCCCTGGCATGATGTTAATGAGAGATCAGAAGGTTTTAAGACAACATTGTCTCCCACAGAACTCTTCCAATAGAGACAATATGTACTGCTTAGCCAGGACCTGGCAAATTTAATGAGAGTGAATAGTTAGAATCATTAGATTCCTCCCCACCCCCACAGAAGAGATCTTGCCCAAACTGCTGTACTACTAGCTTATATAATGCCACATATTACTAAACAGAAATAACAAATATAGGGGTTTTCTAGGGAAAGTATGAGGGTGGTATACTTTCACTTTTATTATGAAAAATGGCTGAAAATGTATCTACTATATCAATTATATATCTCCACCTAAGAAAACTCCAGAGAAACATTGCTCAATGGCGTTTATCGCACAGTTTGCTATTATGTGAAAATGTGAAGGAAAACAAAACAATGTTTGCTTGTGAGAGAGAGAAATTATGTCATTTATACTACTCAGAATTTATATAGCACCAACATATACCGTAGCGCTTTACAATGATAGACTGGGCATATCTGACAACAAGTAATTGACGTACAAAATATTGACAGAGGCAGGAGTCGAAGTCACAGTGAGACTATTTTAGAATAAACTTTGCGTTTCACCACAATTTAATGTTTAGTGAATAATTTGCCCTAGTATTAGAATGTTTGCTTCTTTAAATTGCTCACTTATTTTAGCACCAACAAACGAGAGGATGTTATGGACAGTCACAAGGTTACACACATTTAGAATGCTAATATACATGGATTATTTTTCAGAGCTCGGTTAGAATGTTTTTTTCTTACAAACAAAAAAAATACAAATTACAAAGGTTGAACTTCTTGTGCTTTAATTCTAGGAAACTAAAGCTTGAGGAGATTTGTAAATGTTTGATTCAGGCTAAACTAACCTAATTCTGAAAATTCTCCAACCGAATCCAATATCTGCAGTGTCCGGGTCAGTTGTCCAGAAGGTCTGAGAGTGATTCACTAAAGTGAGAATTCAAAGCGAATTTTAGATTTAAGGTAAAAATTGCTGAACTTGAATAATTCTCTAAGTCCGCTCTGCTTTCCATTCAGCTACTCTGACCGTAAATGTAATATTTTGCAACTGCTAATTTGGTTTAATTTTATTATGTAGTATTTATCCACTCAACAATGACAAGTGTAACAAATTGAAAACATCATTTAATTTAGGCCCAAAAAAGCTGCATATGAAAATATATCCAATTCAGCTGTTTTTCCAGCCTAGTTTATCTGTGATCCGATGTGAAACCAGGCATACATGGAGATTACATTAACAGCATGTATTTAAAATGTTTTATTTATTTATTTATGTATTTATTTGTTTGTTTGTTTAAATATTTTTGGGGAAAAAGGAAATAAAACATGACATGGAGGGAGGGATAGTAGGGGAAGGAAGGTTAGGGACTAAGAAAGGTAAGAACGGTTGGAGGAAAAGGGAGGGTACAGAAGGTAGGTGGAGAAAGAGGGATGAGGTAACGACAGAGGTAGAGAGCGTTGGAGGAAGAAGTGATAGATTGAACGCTCATTTGAGCAGTGTCCTCTTCAACCTATTGTTCCTGTAAGGTGTTTTTGTAATTGACCTATTTATAGTTAAATCCCTCCTCCCTCCCCCCCCCCTTCCACTCCCATAATATTGTAAAGCGCTACAGAATCTGTTGGCGCTATATAAATGTCAATAATAATAATATTAATAATAGGGGGAGGAATGAAGGTTGGGGGAGAAAGAGAGGTAGGATAATGGTATAGGTGGGGTAGGGGAATTAAGTAAGGTTGACGGAGGAAGAGAGGTAGGGTACGAAGGAGGGTAAGGGGAAAGGGACGGTAAGGAAAGGAAGGTCGGGCTAGGAGGGTCAAAGTTTAAAAGAAAGTTATTATCAATATTATTATTATTAAATGTATTAATATTATTGGAATTTATGTAATGCCAACTTATTCCGCAGAACTTTCCAATTAATATTGTTTTTGTATTTTATTGTACCCTAATGTAACAATGCAATGTTTTGTGAACCCAGGACATACTTGAAAACGAAAGAAATCTCCATGTATCTTTCCTGGTAAAATATTTTATAAATAAATCAATAAATTAATCAATAAATATTGTTAGGGGGAGATTTAACAATAAATGAAACTATTACATATTTTGACTTGTCAAACGGGCTTACAATCCAGACTTATAATGTGTAATGAAGGGAGAGTGGGGAAAGAACATTGAAAAAAAGATGGCAAAAAAGATAAGGGGTCCAAGGTAGTGAAGTGTTAAAATACCAAGAGTCCCAGATATTCTGGAGAGATTTCCAGGTGTGGAAGAACTTGGTTTTAAAAAGAAATTATAATTAGATTTGTTCATTCAAATGTGTTTTACTGTATTGTAGAGCACATATAATTAGAGTGTACTTTATAAATAATAATAAAACCATATAGAATAAAATAATAGCAGACATCTTACATAGTAACATGACAATCTAGGTTGAAAAAGTACTAATGTTCATTGTTTAACCTTTAAAAGTCATTCATTTATGCTGCTGACCCAATCTACCTGGAATATTAACAAAACATTATTTACAGAAATGTTTTTTGATGATTTATGATCCTTAAATTGAGAATAGAATCTTTATCCTCCTAAACCTGCTCAGACATCTTTATGTGACACGTTCCCTGAATGTACAAATTATGTATCACCATGATGGGCTAAGTGGGATTTTGTATTAGCTATGTAATCTATATTTATTTGGGGGTCTCATAAAGACATATTTATGACCACCAGCTGACCCCAAGAAAGGAAAAATAAAGACCCCCCCCCCCATATATGGAGGCGAGACATAATACAAAAATACTATGTTGCTATGCTATACTATGTAATATACTGCAGAGTGAAGGCTTGCTAAGCATGATGGTAGTTGTAGTCCCAGACACAGATATTTTCCAATTCCTAGGCAGATAAGAACCATTCGGCCCACCTAGTCTGCCCAATATTTCAAAATACTTTCATTAGTCCCTAGCCTTATCTTATAGTTAGGATAGCCTTATGCCTACCCCACGCATGCTTAAACTCCCTCACTGTGTTAACCTCTACCACTTCAGCTGGAAGGCTATTCCATGCATCCACTACCCTCTCAGTAAAGTAATACTTCCTGATATTATTTTTAAACCTTTGTCCCTCTAATTTAAGACTATGTCCTCTTGTGGTAGTTTTTCTTCTTTTAAATAATGGTCTAGCTCTAGTCTAATAAGACCTGGAGATGTTACTGTAACCCATTATTAGATCACAGCATTCTCAGGTTATTTATTTAATAAATTATCCAGCCTGCAGGGATGCCCCCCTAAATACCCCATCCAGTTGGGACAATCTGCCTTTAGGGGATCACTTACAGTCTAAATGCTGACAGACAGCTAAGTGCAGTCATTAAATCAATATACAGATGTCCCACTACCATTTCCCATTGCAGGATAAACCTGGCACTTACCCACCAAAACCCACCTCATTCTTTTCAATTAAAGGGGAATTAGTGAGCCACATCAAGTGACCTTCCTAATAAAGCCAGTCTTTATTAAAACGTTTTCATCTAACCATCTTAAATTTCCCTAGCTTTTTTTAAAAAGTCTATTTTCTGAAATGGTTTTGGCAGTGAGTGGATAAGATCTGTGTCAGGCCAGTTTACAGAGACTTAGATCACAAACACATCTAAAACGTTTTCCAACTTAATCTAAAGACTCAAGTGCTTTAGATAAATATTTAGTAAAATTGTAGAGATTGATCATTAAATCTCACTGTGCTCTGTCCTAGACCCCTTCCTGTACACTGTCAGTCTGTGAGAGAGTGTTAGATTAGGTGGCAGGTGGGATTGGATTGAATTATTCCAAGTAATGTTGTGTATCTTTATCTCTGTCCTAACGGTATGTATCAAAACCAGATTATCGTAAATAATCAAGTCCCAAGAAAATGTATCCTGCCCCCAGAATTATGACAGACTTTCAGCAGGATATGTTACAGTGGCTGCTATGTCTAAAGAGGAAAATCTAGAGCGAAGATCTAAAGGTGGCGCAATCAACAAGAACATTCTATTCGTTTCCATGGTAACTGCTCCATTTTTAGAGCATCGCCCCAGTTTAGCTCTTCATACAAAACTCACAATGGGTGGAATTTTCAGTTGCAACAGGCGGCATGTTCACATCTTGGTTTCCAGAATGTGAAAATGTTTTCATACCCCAAGGGGTGAGGACTCCAGGGGCAGGATGCTATGACCAGAGACACAGATTCTCTGCTTAATGAATAGCAAAATACCGCAATAAAGACTCCGGGGAAATCGCAATTAATTACCTGCCATTATTTTATCTCTGGCTGAAGGATTCCAGCCCTACAAGTGCAGAGGGGAACAGGAACGATTCGTTAAATCAATCAGTATAGCTCAACATAGCGGAAAATAAAACGGATGGCTCGATTGCGTCATATGTATCAATAAATAGCGCACGGTGCTTCTAAGGGATGTTTTATCAAACGTTTTGTTTTAAATGCGAATATGATTATCTGAGGCAAGTTTTGTAGTTTTATTTTCCTGCGATATTTCGATTTCATAAGAGATACTTTAATAAATTAATTCCAGGTTGAGCTAATCGAGAGAGAGCGAGAGAGAGAGAATAGACAGACAGATAGATGACAAATCGATAAAAAAAAAAAATAGATAATTGACAGATGACAAATCGATAAAAAATAAATAGATAGATAAATAGATAATTGATAGATGACAAATCGATAAAAAATAAATAGATAAATAGATAATTGATAGATGACAAATCGATAAATAATAAATAGGTAGATAACAGATAGATAGATATATTTATCTATAAATCGATCGATGAAGAGAGAGAGTGATTAGATATTGAAATGTAAACGAAATTTAAACATTTAAGCCGAAATAGATGATTTGGGGTAATTAATGTAGACTCAAAGAATTCACCAGAATTTTGAAAATCAATTTTTAAATTCACTGTTTTCTCAGTAATGTTGTTCGATCCGTATTACTGTCTCTATATATTTACATGTTCCCAACATTGAGATCCCAACGACACTACACAATATACTTGGAAAATCCGAGATCTTGCAGATTTTTCCTTTTTTACTTGTCTCCTCAATATTTTAATATTTTAATATTTCCATAAATATCGCTGAAGCGTTTTTTATATTGTTTTTAATTGTCTTTGCTACCCCCAATACAGTGAGGTAATTCACCAAAAAGCAGCATGTTGGTTTTTTTTTAATATACACAATTAATTGGATTCAGAAAAAAAAAATCTAATTAAAAAAAATTAACTTCTTTTTTTCCCCTGTATATTTTGTTGACAGAACTGACATTTCCAAGAGACCGAGATTATTCTATTCTATTTAGACACACAATAATACAAATCTTAGAAAATAACATTTATTTCTAACGTTTTATGGCATGATCACACAATTGTGTTAACAATTTCTAAACAATCAAAACAGCACAAGAAACAAAGTGTGAGCTGTGATACCCACTTCTCAAACCAATTTTACACAGCTGTACATCTGCCTCTTCATGGGTCCATAGATCTTATTTGAACTGCACATACACAGACTCCTCTTTTGTGGTTGAAGTTCCACTCACAAGGTTTAGAATAAGTTAGACTCCCATCTCAAAGAGCTGCCTGTCCCCATATAGTTCTCTATATATTTCTAATTACAGGAAGTGATACAATGCAGTTTAATTTTCATGCTTGAGTCCATAGAGTCACAAATACCTTAACAAAAAAAGTGCATCTTATCATCTGCCTCTTGCTTGTTTTTTTTTTGTTTTTTTTTGTTTTTTGTTTCTTTGTGTCTGCTATGTTTGTACATCATTCATTGCAGCCTAAAGAAATCCTTAAATAAGTGACCGTGTCCACCAACAAATACACTTGAGGAATTAAAAAAAGAAAAAATGCAGATTACAATTCGCTTTATCTTGCTGGATCAGAACCAGTTCAGTTCTCAAACACATTTTTAAAATCCAAATTGGCTCTTTTTAGGTGGCCCCCATAATGAAATTAGAAGATACCAAAACCATCAGTTTAAAGTCCATACTGTTGTATTACTGTATCAAAAATGGGATTCAGGGCTTTTCAGTACTATTGTTGACCACAGGTCCATAAAGTCCATTTGAGTATACCTGATCTGATTTGTGAACATTCGCCCTGTCCCTCATGAGGTCACTGAAGGCATAGTCCATGGGTGGGCGAAAGCCAAGGGTAGGCATGAACCCAGCTGTAGAATATGGAGTCATGAAAGCAAGGCCTCTGCTGTGAGCAGAATAAGCTAGCCTCAGTGGGTTCAGTCCAAGGTGCCCACCTAAATGGTAAGCGTTGGTATCAGTGCCAAAATTGGTGGCATTAGGTTGTAAGGGTGAAAATGCAGATCTGCTCCCAATAGTCCCTATGGCTGGGGTGATTGCCCCAGCAATGAGAGGTCTGTGGGTGGTGGACATTGATGGCTGAATACTCTGGAGGGTGCCATCTCTTGACCATGTTTCATCACTCTTATCCTGCCCCCTGTTGTTCAGAATCTGCTCAATGGCTTGGACCACATCTCCACCACAGCCCTGAAGGACCAGCTCCAGAACACTCCTCTTCTGAGTGGGAAAGACTCTGGTGAGAATGTCTATGGGGGTCCTTTGTCTGGATGAAGATGACGAGCTGGGATCTTGCTCGTCCTTTTCTGCATCAGAACCTGACTCAGAGCCCAAGGGGCTGATGGAGCTAGGGCTCTCCTCTCCTTCTTTCAGAGCCTTGGCCATGGGGGAGCTGAGGAAAGACTCTCCATCTCCATTTTCAGAGCCAGAACCTGGTCTCACCTCTGGGGAGGAGGCACCAGGAGCACTGCCACTCACTGACTCACTGTCTGGAGTCACTGGCTTTGTACCTGAGGGCAGCTGCTGGGGGGTTCCAGATCTGGGAACAAAGTTCTTTGGGAAGATGTCAAACTTCTGGATCTTGGATTCTGGAGACAGAGCAGAGAATTTGGGTAAATAAATGACACTGATTGACTGGTTGTCATTTATCCCTATGAAGCAAAATGATGGCATTAGACAAGTTATTTTCAGTAAAATATAGTGGGTGAAAGCAAAGAACTGTCTAAAATCTACAATCAGGCTACATATTAACACTATACAGCAGGACTCAGGATTAGGGGAGGTTACTGTATCAACACTAAACAACAGGACCTTCTGTGAGGGTCTGCACTGCTCAAAGGTGGGGGTTGGTGGGCGGTAGGGGTGGGGCAGAGAGTATCACCAAACCTACAGAGAAGCGTTTTAATGCATCTGACTACTAAAACTATATAAGAGTATTCTTGATTGTGAGGTTTTGGCTTGCACTATGGGGGCTGTAACCACCACCACTGCAAGGAGGGGTTCAATATGAACAACACAAAACATTTCAAAAAGGTGCAACAGATGGGGTGCAATCCCTGGGATGTCTGACCCTCAGTATTGCAAAGAGAGGGTCTGGGGTGGGGGAGTCCCCAGACATGGAACTGGGGTGGGGAGGTGGGGGCCCCCAGATATGGAACTGGGATGGGGAGGTGGGGGGGTCCCCAGACATGGAACTGGGGTGGGGAGGTGGGGGCCCCCAGATATGGAACTGAGGTGGGGGGGGTCCCCAGACATGGAATTGGGGTGGGGAGGTGGGGGGGGTCCCCAGACATGGAATTGGGGTGGGGAGGTGGGGGTCCCCAGACATGGAACTGGTGTGGGGAGGTGGGGGGGTCCCCAGACATGGAACTGGGGTGGGGAGGTGGGGGGCCCCCAGACATGGAACTAGGGATCCCTATAATGGCTGCATTACCAGCTTAGCAGACTTGCAAGTAATGGAAACAACCACAAGATTACAGCCTGCAACTCCCACAATCCCCAGCTTGGCTGCGCTTGGAATCAGGCAGCCTGAGGGTGTTAGGAGTTACCATTTAGCAAATGCTAGGTGTTTGTTAACTCTGCTCTAAATCCTCCAATAAAGGGTCAGGGTTAGGAGATAATTAGCAGGGGAGCAAAGAGGTCACTGGGAAAGTTGAAATCTTTTCTTTTTGATTATGTTTTTGTCTTTTTTTCCTTCCTTTCTTTCTAAGTGCGATTTTCATCCAGTTATGTAAGAGGTGGGATTGCTTAAATCTAATAAGATCTTCTATATTAGTCATTGGAAATTTAGTAAATACTGTATATTTAATTAATTGGGAGGAATCAATTTATTCATAAATTATCTAGTTAAATCATTCCCTTTTTGCAAAAACAAAAAAAAAAACAACAACAGCAACCAAAAACTTTTATTATAATAGTGACTGGATCTTGTTTCTTGTTATTAAAAAGTCTGAAAGACTTAAAAAGGAAGTAGGTAAGTTACCCTAATAGGGGCAAATATAATTAATAAATGCAATAAGAATAATATAAATTTATTATAGATAGATAGATAGATAGATAGATATATAGATAGGGGGGTTTAGATAGATAGATAGATAGATAGATAGATAGATAGATAGGGGAGATAGATAGATAGACAGACAGACAGACAGACAGACAGACAGACAGATAGATAGATAGATAGATAGATAGATAGATAGATAGATAGATACAGATAGATAGATAGATAGATAGATAGATAGATAGATAGATAGATAGATAGATAGATAGATAGATAGGGGAGATAGATAGATAGATATGGGAGATAGATAGATAGATAGATAGATAGATAGATAGATAGATAGATAGATAGATAGATAGATAGATAGATAGATAGATAGATAGATATAGAAAGATAGAAAGATAGATAGATATAGATAGACATAGATAGACAGATAGAAAGATAGATAGATAGATAGACATAGATAGACAGATAGATAGATAGATAGATAGATATAGAAAGATAGAAAGATAGATAGATATAGATAGACATAGATAGACAGATAGAAAGAAAGATAGATAGATAGATAGATATAGAGATAGAGATAGAGATAGAGAGAGAGATAGATAGATAGATAGATAGATAGATAGATAGATAGATAGATAGATAGATAGATAGATAGTGATTTTTATATTAGACGAACCTGAGAGATTATTTTATTATAACATATTTAGGAGATTTTAAATGAGGGTAAAATTGCGGCTGATATACAAACTGTCAATACTGCACTGATGTTTCCTTTTAATAAATAGTGAGCAATTAATTATTACACGATTACAATCGCTTTGATTTGAAAGGACACATTCTGGGCTCGGATTAGAAGGACAGAATGATATATTGGGCTGTTTAACGCTGTAGGTCATTCATGTATTACAGGGATAAGGGTTCTGATGGAGCAGATATTGCAATTGTTAGGTTCTGGGCTCTGATGAGACAGATATTACAGGTTCTGAGGGGACAGATATTACAGGTTCTGATGGGACAGATATTGCAGGTTCTGTTGGGACAGATATTACAGGTTCTGATGGGACAGATATTACAGGTTCTGATGGGACAGGTATTGCAGGTTCTGTTGGGACAGATATTACAGGTTCTGATGGGACAGATATTACAGGTTCTGATGGGACAGATATTGCAGGTTCTGTTGGGACAGATATTACAGGTTCTGATGGGACAGATATTACAGGTTCTGATGGGACAGGTATTGCAGGTTCTGTTGGGACAGATATTACAGGTTCTGATGGGACAGATATTACAGGTTCTGATGGGACAGATATTGCAGGTTCTGTTGGGACAGATATTACAGGTTCTGATGGGACAGATATTACAGGTTCTGATGGGACAGGTATTGCAGGTTCTGATGGGACAGATATCGCAGGTTCTGATGGGACAGGTATTACAGTTCTGATGGGACAGATATCGCAGGTTCTGATGGGACAGGTATTACAGGTTCTGATGGGACAGATATCGCAGGTTCTGATGGGACAGATATCGCAGGATCTGATGGGACAGGTATTACAGGTTCTGATGGGACAGGTATTACAGGTTCTGATGGGACAGATATTTCAGGGGTTATGTTCTGGGCTGTAGATATTACAGGTTCTGGCTCTTTGTGCTGTACTAAGGCGATATATGGGGGTGCTGTGTTCAAGGTAGGGCAGATATTGAGGGGCAGTTCTGTGTTCTTCTGAGGGCTTTTCTAAGGGTTCTCTGCTGTAGGTGGTGAGATGTTGGGGAGATAATGAGGAGGTCAGATAGAAGCAGGTCAGATATTGGGGAGATAACAGGGTAGATATTGGGGTGTTAGGTAGGACTAGTATTGGGGTGTTGGTTCAGTGCTTACCTGCACCTCCTTCTGTGCACACAGAGCCAAAGACTTCATAAGCCGGCCTGGGTGGGATGATGCCATTGGCTGCGGCCAGAGCCAGTCCCTCCGCGGTTCCATAGAGGAGCTGCAGCTCGCGAGCCTCGTTCTCCTCCTGCGCCTGCTGCCTGCGGAGCGCGACCTGCGCGGCCATCACCCTCTGGCGCTCCGCGATCAGCGTGCACTTAGCGCACATACAGTCCTTCCAGCGGCAGTAACGCTTGTGGCCCTTCAGAGCTGACACCACCCCGTGATTCCTGCATCGGGCGCACTTCGGGGTGCGAGGGTACTTCTCTGCCGCCCTCAGGAGCAGCTGGGGGCCCCTCAGAAGGGTCCCCGCCACAGTGACCGGGATGGAAGTGGCAGACGGAGTTTGGGGGACCTGGGAGGCAGATGGGGTCCCACTCAACTCCATTTTGGGAGACCCCCACAGAACACTAAACAAAGACACGGCCAAAAATCGTCCCCCCAAAATATATTCCTGGAGATGTGATTTTAAAAAAAGGATCCTAACACCTATCACTCTCAGCGCCAACAAAGACTCAGTCTGGTCCCCCTGACTAGATATACAGAGACTGATAGTTCTACAAACAAGCTATATACACAATAAGTGAAACAATATATCTATATAGACGTGTTAAATAGTTTCCTCTATATTATTATTACATATAAAGCGCCAACAAACTCCGTAGCGCTGTACACAATGTCCTCTCTATGAGCCCTGACTGGTTCCCTAGGGATATAATCAGAGTTAGCCTTTTCTTGGATATTTATAGCCAAATCCCATCTCACAGGTCCCTATAGCCCCAGTTTATAGACACAAAGACCCCTGTTCAGACCAGTGTCCCCTAAATGTCCATCAGCTCTCACACAGCCCCCTTCACAGAGACTCACACCCCTTCATAACCACAGCAAGCTGAGTCCAGAACCTCTCACCATCTAAAACTGGAGGGGAGCAGTTACCTTGAATCTTGCTGCTGGTCCCAGATCCCCAAAACTCCCAATATTTGTTTGTTTTTTTTGGGGGGGGGGGTTTGGATAAAAAGTCAGATAGATCCTTGTTCTTCAGCAATCAGCTCCAAGTCAGCCTCTCCCTGAAGCCGAGACTTGGTAAGTGTTTCTGTAACTTGCAGTCTCTCCAGCAACAAAGTTACAACTACAATCAGCCTCAAAGCACTCCCCTTGTCAGTGAATTGTTGCTGGCTATGTAGTCATTAGACCAATTTTGACTACAATGTGGATCATGCCATTGGCCAGTAAGGGGGGAGCTTATTTCTCATTGGTGTGTGTATTGTGTACAGTGTCAATCAGGAGGCTTTCTCAAATAACACAGTGAAGAACCAGAGGCGGATCTAATACAGAGAGCATCACAAGTGAAAGCAATTAGTTTTCATTTCTTTGAGCAATACCCTCTATTACACCAATCCCTTATAGCAGCCCCCCCCCCCCCAAAAAAAAATAACTCTAAAACAAATTGACCCCATAATCAAATAAAGCAATGTTGCAAGAATTTAATGGTTTCTGTGTTTTTTTTTTACATTATAGTTCAATTTTCTTCCTTAAGGATCTGAATTGAAGTGTTGGAGCAAAATGCCTGATATTGGGGTGAGTATTATATTTATTATAAATCACACAGTGATCTTAATTATTAACCCTTTCTCCTAATTATAAGTTATAGCTAAATGGGTGCAGGATCTCAGAAGGATAGCAAATCCCTTGAACTATGGGGATATAAAGTTACTTAAATTCGATTTCCTTATTTTGTAATTATTTTAGAATCTTGAAACATGCATGCTGAATTTCGCTTTACGATTACGAATAAAATGTCTTTGAAAATCCATCAGTCATTTGAGAAATATAGTAGAACTGTTATTATTTATCAAATGAAGTGTTTCTGGCACGATTTGCAGTTTTACTCCTGATTGTGTAGAATTCATTGTTGGGTTTAGAAATTTGACTTTAAAGAATCTTTAAGCAACATTTGTTTTTTTAAGTGTCGCTCAAATTGTTTTTAGACATAATGGATTATTCAAGTTTAATGTTATAAATGTATGATCTATATTATTTATTCAGAATGTGTGTATCCGACTGTGAACTGAAATCAGTGGAGAGATTTTCTACTACATTTCCACCACAACTAAAATTAATAAATATTTTAAAATGTAACACCTTAAATTAATCAGACAGAGAAAATAATAATCGATAATAATTTATTATATGTATATATATATATATATATATATACACAAAAGAAAATTTAATAATTATATAATATATATATATATATATATATATATATATATGTTTTTATATTTCTCCATATTTTTAAATGTTTATATATTTATCGATTTATATATTCATGGTCAATACATTTTTTTAAAAAGAATATGGTGAAAAAAATTATAATAAAAAATAATAATTAAAAAAATTATATTATATACAATTTTTCCATAATTTATTTTTATTTATATATTGACAATGAATAATTGTATTCTCCGGAAGGCTGGGTGTAAGACACAGCGTAGAGACATTGTATTACTGAATCGAATTATTGACCTTAAAGTACCATGCCCCTATGGTACCCAGTGTGTGCCACTTTGGGCATGGATCTGTTTGACCAATATGACAATGTTTGTATGTAATATGTATCCAGGTGGTATCGCCTTGTACAGCTTCCCATATTACAAATATTAAATAATCATTAGTGTGTGATTTGCAATAAAAATGTAGTTTTATTCAGCTTAAGAAAACGGTGCAATTTGTTGAATACTATATCAATACATATATGTTTTATGTTCGTTTATTCGTTCCTACTCAGAACAAATTTGGAACTTTATTTTTACTAATAAAATTAAAACAGTTAAATAGTGTCAGAAGAATCTGAGCCATTTTCTGTTACACTATTTAACCGGTTTAATTTTATAAGCAAATCAATGCTATGGAACTGGAAAATAATGAGTGATGCATTTTGTTCTGATTTCACAGCCAATTTGTTTAAAGAAATAGCTATTAATAACAGACCTTACAAGTGAGTTGTTTAAGAAAGACATAGCTCTAGGTATCTTCAAGGGTTAATTAGTGGGATTAATTGATGGAACATGACAATTAAAATTCTCCCCAGTCTCTGTGAAAATAAGGGGATTTGTAATGTGCTCTGTGTGAAATGAAATGTTCAACAAACTGAATTCAGATCTTACTGAGAGAACAGACAGGAACCTGGAATATTTTTATTACAATAACTAAACACACGTACATATAAATTATATAAACTATATCTAGATAGATAGAATGTTTATAAAGCATGGAATATTTATTATATAAAATGTACACCCTGTATATGTGTATGTGTGTATCATTTCGTAATATATTTGTAATTAAAAATATAATATAAATGATGAGCTGCAAAATACTTGTATATTTTAAAATATTGTATGTACATAATGTGATATATTAATTACATTAAAATGGCCAGTAGGTCAGATAATTAACTCATTACTCCCTGGTGTTCGATAGATTAAACTGTTCAAGTTACCAGCAGTGATTCTTTCTATCCAGGAAGAAACTAGAAACTGCAAAAGACCCTGAAAATGATGGTAAAAATTGGGGTAATGGGATCTGGGGTGGTCAGTGAGATTTTAATTAATAAATTACTAGAAACAGATTTTGATTTAATTATTTATTTATTGCATTTTCTGAGAATTTCTCAGTGGGATATTGCAGTATGCCATGAGAATAGCTTAAACAGTTATTTAGTGCGTATTATTTTCTACTTATAGCTCAAAAATAAATAAACAAATACACTAATGCGAAAATAAAAAATAAATAAAAAAATGTTCCAATAGTTTACTTTGTTTCGGTCACACACGGAGAATAACGAAACGAATCGCCAGGTGAAGAAATCAGACACACATTTTGTTTCAACACTGTTTCGACATTTCCACCAAACTGCAGCAAAGTAAAAAAAAATAGCAAAATAAAGGCTGAAATAGCTACACTGTGACTGCAGCTGAGATGGAGAATTTATCAGAATCAGCAACATTTATGGCTACATTTCTAATTCGAATGCCAATTCACAACAGTTTGTTGTTTAGTGGAGAAATTCTATTTTACCCAACTTGACGTATTAGATAGATAGACAGACAGACAGACAGACAGATAGATAATAGATAGTCAGACAGATATAAGATAGATAGATAGATAGATAGATAGATAGATAGATAGATAGATAGATAGATAGATAGATAGATAGATGGATAAATAGAATTATACACAGATATATAATTTTAAGCTAATTCCACATTGCAAAACAAGTAAGTTTGACCTGAATAATCGAAATTAGCAATAATTTAATGTACATGAACCAATTTAATTTCTAAAATCTGATACTCACTCCTGTGTCTCCTTTAACCCCTCCCTTCTATATTAGCAAGTTTATTAGAACAATATCCATTTTGAAATGACTATATAAACACTTGCTGTACTCTTAATTATCTCTTCATCCAGGAGTGTTAAATGAACTTTAGTTGTTATATTATTTAATAATTGTGTTGGATTCCCAGAGCCCTGTTCCCCTCCCAGGATAAAGATATCGATTGGATTCGCTGACACTGATAGTGTCTGCAGTGCAGGCTGATAGGGTAATAGCAGAGAATGCTATTAGACAGTCAGCTATGTGGTTTACTTGCCATGTTTACCCACTGAATCAAAGCAATGCATCCCCCATCTGTTCCCTCCAACAAGATCTCTCCACTTTTAATTATCAACTCACAACCTAATAGAGATGATATTATCCTTAATCTTTCTGACATTAAAAGTAATTACCTCCAAACCAATATTACAGTAATGAACATTACCTCCTTCCCTGCAAGACAGAGAGAGAGAAAAAAATAAGGATAACTGTCTTCCCAAATAATTTAACCCTTCAGGTGCTGAGAGAAGAGAAGATTCTGCAATGTAGGGGTGGCTAAATACAACCCCCAGCCCACAGTCCCCCAAAATAGTATAACTACAATTCCCACTATGCCTTGGCGGCCTTATGGTCTATGAAATATGGGGAGCAGTGTATAGACACCCCCAATACGAAAATTGTTCCAGCAGTCTATCAGAAATCTTCCGGGAGCGAAGGGGTTAATGGCAGATGAAATGAATCCCATTGAGCAGTTTATGGTGTCAGTTATACATTGTGTTATTGTGAATTGTGTTATTGTGAATTGTGTGATTCATCGGGTTTATCCTGAGTTTGGAAGCATTGAGATCACTATGATAATAATAATAATAATAATAACAATAATAACAATAATAACAATAACAACAACAATAACAACAATAATAATGATAATAATAATAATAATAACAATAATAATGATAATAATAACAATAATAATAATAATAACAATAATAACAATAACAATAATA